AGTTTTTAGGAAACTCAAACTAAATTTGATAACAATTGTTGTCATTAACTATTTTGGTTCAAATAGAAAAATCAAAACAAAATTTGGAAACAATTGTTGTCATCAATTATTTGGTTGAAATACAGAGCGAATTTGGCTTATACCCGTGGAGCGAACTCGGTAGTTGTACAAGTGGTAGATCGTGCTTAGTCGTCGGGCACGAACAGTTGGACTGTAAGGGAGTGGCAATCCCAATGTGCGGTAGACAATCGGGGCAGATCCCATGCCCCACTCCGCAGCCTGACGTAACGAGGTAATTGCGTTACTGACTCGCTCAACAGCAGCTCGCAGCACGGGCGATGTCTTGTCGATGTCACCAGATTTCAAAGGAGTTACGATGCTGCGGTTCCCGTCTTTCACAAGAAATGCAGTGTCCGCAGCAACGCACACACCAGGGGCCAAAACGCCTGGCTTCCTTAACAGTTCGATGAGTGGTCGACATATTTCTCCATCGTTCCAGGAGCCGGGAAATTTGTGCTTCCCCCAAACGAGTGTGCCATCGACTCCGTAAAGCAATACGCCAGTGACATAAACCGAATGCAACCAACCTATTAAAACGGTGCATTTGACATTTGTGAGAAATTGACATTTCAAATATGTGATAATGTTGGCTAAATTTGAAGCTACCGTTGTAAAATGCGTTTTGAACATCTCTGTTGCTGGGTTCCTGTACAGGGTAGTTCTTTCCATCGAGGAAGAAGGCAATTCGAGGTGCGTCAGGCTCACGAGCAGTGCAGGCATCGGCCCAATCAATCTGCGTCGCATGGTCGGGAAAGCGGATCGAGGCTTCGGGCATAGACTTGAGTGCCCTGAGAAGCGCGCATTCGGCATTCAGCAGCACTCGCGAAAGGGTCGTGGGTGGCATGCCAAACAGCTCACAAATAGTCTTGTGTTCAACGGGGCCGGTGTATACGTGCAACAGGCATGCGAGGACAACGTGCTTTTCCTCACAGCGAGGAGGTCTACCACGTCGATCTGACGCTCATTAATTGATTGCCATAAAATGATTGTTAATTTCTAAATGAATATTCTACCTGGTCCAGATTTTACGATGTAGTGTTTGGAAATATACGCCCAGAAGGCGCTCAAAAGATACAACATCAAGACTAGTTGTCGCCATGAAGCTGCGATCGCATTTACTCATGTACATTGCGTGCCATGGTATCTCACTCGGTGTGACGAGTGCTGTCGATAGGATCTAGAGTAGTGTGCGTAAGAACAATGTGCATTTGTGCCTTGAGACCTTATTGCGAGACCGTATTTGCATACGCAGGCGTAACATGAGAGCCAGGAGAAGCTGGTTGCGGTGTATCGTACGCTGGCGATGCCCTTGGCAAGCCCTGAGAAACCCCAGAGGCGAGGATCTCATCACCACTGCAGCAAGCAGGACCAAATGTCGTGTGCAAGAGGTCAAACCCACTTTGAACCAGTCGATTTGTGTTCCTGGTTTTTGGTTGGCACATCTATGACAAGTTGACACAAGTACAACATATGCTGGGACACAGCACATATGAAACATAAATATGCGATTTATGTGATTTTTGGGGGTCCCCCATTGTGAAAATCGCCAGCAAATAGCCGCGATGACTTGCTTGGTACGAATTTCAAAGATTTGGGCAGAAAATGATGGACACTGCTTGGGCAGTACGACGAGGTGTAGTCGCACGTTGCGATAGCGCGGGTGTCCAGTTGGTGTACTTGAGATGTTTGTGTGTACATGTGTACATAGGTGTGCATGTGTGTTGGGGAAGCGAAGAGACTCACATACGAGGCCTACGCGCTCAGGTGTTACACGATGGGATGTCCATTGACTCAGCTCAGGAAACTGCGTCATAACAGGGTGACTTGTATCGATTGTTTTGTGAGGAAAATCCCACTTTTTGTCATTGGGGTCATTTCGCGGACATTCGGATCGGGGCGATTTGATTAACAATACGAACAACACGTGGAAATTTTGAGTAGAACAGCACGCAATTTTAACGTCTCCAGGGTCGAGGCACAACTCTCTGAACATACTCCCCTGGTTTCAACAGATGCAAAGGCGGCATGCAGGTCAGCAACATGTAAGTGTCGGTAACGTTGCTTGATGTACCAGTATGTATGGCCATCCCCTTTCGAGATCTCAACAAGACATGTCCTACTTGGAAGTAACGTTAGTATTGTAATACTCCAGAGTACTACGTAGTAGCGTTAGTGTGGATTCGGTGGTGTACAGATTTCCAGACCCCGTCGATTCAATGAATCACGAATCGACGCTATATTGGCTAATCCAAATTTGAGTGGATTTGATTGGCTCTGACAAGTATATTCAACCAATCAGAACTTCCAGCGTGATATACAGTTCATAATATTCCTGACAAAAAGGGTGGAATTTCAAAAGCAGAACCTAATGGGAATGCGTACCTTATAGGACCGTACTCTATTGGAATGGCCATTGACATCGTTCGTCCATGGAAGAAGTCAGCAAGAAGCGCGCCAAGCGGCTCGAGAAGAAGCGGGAGCGATCTGAGAAGAAGGCACAGAGCGTGGCGGACGGGACATGGACGAATCCTCGGAAGAGACGCAATCAGCGGGACTTCCATTGCGAAACCAGGGATTCCGTGGACGACATGGCGAATGAAACCACCTCCGAGACGAAACCCGACGGGTTCCGCTACGTCGCGCCGTACAAACACAAGTTCCAAGTGCATGTGAAGGCACGATGGTTCGGCAAAACGCTCCTTCAGATGTTCGTGGAAGAGTTTGGCGGATACAGTTCCGAGTACTACGCCGCTGCCATTCAACACGGCTTCATCACGATCAACCACCTCCCCACGACCGCGTCGACACTTGTCAAGCACGGCGATCTGCTGCAGCATGTGGTACACGTTCCTTCATGATGCATTCTTCCATGACTCGAACGAGCCTGTAGATGCATCGCCACGAGCCTCGCGTACAAGCGTTCGATGCGGCGACGATGGTGGCATTTCAATCCGACGATATTGTACGCCAGACTTATGCTTGGGAAGGGAACGAATTCACACTAATTGTAGGTCGTCGTGAACAAACCATCGACGATTCCTGTCCATCCATGCGGCGCGTACAGACACAACAGCCTCGTGTTCATCCTCGCCAACGACCTCCACCTCCACCCAGTGTTTCCCGTGCATCGACTCGACCGACTCACTTCAGGTACTAACTAATATAACATTAGTAGTAGTAGTACTACTATAAATACCTACGCATTCATCTAGTAGTACTATACGTGGAACGTTACTTGAATAGGCCTGCTTGTACTCGCCAAATCAGCCGACAAGGCTGCAGAGTTGTCGGCCCAACTGGTCGAACGGTCAGTGCAAAAGTTCTACTTCGCCAAAGTACTGGGACGCTTTCCTTCCGTGGCTCATGTCCCGCCCGCTATTGCCGCCGCCGCCGAGGTCGATGCCGCCGTTCCATCGCCTGCCGCATCCCCTTCATCCACGTCGTTATCGTCGTTTCCATTCCATGACCTTCCCCGTACGTAACAACAACCTACTGCCTTGCATCCCACCGCCGTAGTTTGACTGGCGTTTGTCCTTTCAAGTTATTTTGCTCATGTGCGAAATCCATCGATCGATCGATCGTGTAGTTGTCCTGATGTTTGTATACAATAGTCCAGTTTTGTTTGGTCACACTAATTAAAGTCTCCCATGAGTGTTTTTTGTGATTGGTGGATGGATGAGTAGTTCGTGCCATCTGATTGGCTAAAACGTGGGTTGAATAATAGTCAATTTCGACTTGGGCAATATTGTGCATTGCACACAATCCAAGCGTTTCAATTGGTAGAAAATATTCCACAAAATGTGATTTGATTGGCTTAGGTGGTTCTTTCATCTATTCGCTTAAGACGTTCGATTCTACTGCAGACTGCTCCAATTTCGACTTGACAATTATATATTGTGCTTTCGAGTGAAATTTCGTGTTGTGGTGTGGTTTCTCGTTGGAATTTAAATCGATTTGATTGGCTACTTCAGATGAGCTCAAAATTATTAGCCAATCAAAACCCATTTCTCAATGAAATTCAACCAATCAGATCGATTGTGGATCGGTTTGGTCGGCGCTATTCGATCAATTGCACCCCCGCCTCCCCAAATTTGTATATCAAATCGACAATACATGTGGATTTATATAACTACTTCCTGTAGCGCACTGTACGGTGACGACGGCCGAATTGGACGGACACGCGTACTTTCACATTTCCGCGCCGTTGGGCCGCATCGCGGACTTGGAGAATCGCCACGGAATCGTCGCGACAGGCAAAGTATGTACACTTTGCTAGACAAATACTAGAGTATTGGTCAATACTCGAATCGTAGCCAAGCCAGACGTTGGTGCGGTGGGTCGGCGAGAGCGCCGACGGCCGCCACAGCGTCCTCCACTGCCTCCCGCTTACAGGTCGCCAGCATCAGATCCGAGTGCACCTGCAGGCCGTGGGCTTCCCCATCGCCAACGACCCGCTGTACGGCCCCCCGACCTTTGTCGACACGATCGTCGTTGAAGCCAGTCGTCGGCCAATGGCATCGACGAACGACACGCGTGACGTGGCAGCGTCACACGACCCCGCGACGGTCACAGCGGAACAACTAGCTGCCGTGTGCGAGTCGTGCCAGATGGGCGATCACGTCACGTTCAACTGGGAGCAACAGCACTGCCAAGGGATTTACTTGCATGCGTTTCGGTATAAGGTACGACTTGAATCCAAAATATATATATATTTTTTATAGATATGTATATATAGGGACATTGACTGTATGTTAATTTTACGCAGGGAACGTCGTGGGACTTTTCCGTGCCCCCGCCTTCTTGGGCCGCGTTGGTGTAGCTGGATATACGCTCTCCATAAATAGAAATTCCACGAGTATTCTGAAATAATACTCTATTAATAGAGACTATTCCAATGGTCATCTATGAATAATATATCCGAGCACGATTCCGATTTCTATAAAAGAGGACAAGTTCCACTGGCATTTGCTTGGCACGAGGTTGCGACGATCGATACCCTCTCCGTATCCCATCAGATCAAGGGGGTTTCTTCATGCCCAAAACCTCCAGCTTGTCTAGATGCGCCTGCAGCAACGTCACTGCCGGGGCTTCCCAGTACTCCCATGCTGGATAGCCTAGCGCGTCCTCCGCGGCCATCGCGGCGCCGTGGTCCAGCAGTAGCTTGGCGCATCCGACGTTCCCGTGTATTGCCGCGCAGTGCAGCGGCGTCCACTTGGACCGATCTCGTGCTTCAATATTGGCGCCTCCCAGCACGAGAAAGCCAACCTGTTGTACCCATCCAAATTTTCAACATGCATAAAGTCATATGAACAACATTCCTATAAATATGGATTCATGTAACGAGGACATACGCACCGCGGCATCCATGCCACGCGTCGCTGCCCAATGGAGCGCTGTCCGGCCTTCGGCACTTTGCACGGCAATGTCGGCGCCCATTTCTACAAATTGCAATGTGTGACAACGTTGACAGCAAACACGAGAAAACAAATCACGAAATTGCATACGAAAATAGAATCAGCGTACCTAATAGCCGGGCGATCACAGGCACGTGACCGTTCGACGCTGCACACATGAGCGGTGTCCACCCCGACACATCGCGGGCGTTCAAATCGAGCTTTGGCTGCTCCAGGAGCAAATTCACTGCCTTGAGAACCCCGTGTTCGGCAGCGTAATGCAGGGCAGCCCACCCCGCGCCGTCTTTGGCATTGGGGTCACATCCACATTGAATCAACTCGCGCATGCGGTCTAATCCCTAAAGAGAACCCCCTGTCAAGAGGATGGGGGGAGGTATCAAGTAGCACCTGTCCTCGCCCTGCAATGGTCCGCAGCTCCTCGCCAAACTTGAACGCTGGCGCGTAGATGGTCGTGAAGAAATTCAAGTAGTCGTCTAGATGGACAAAGTCCTTGAACTTTGGCGGGGGCGGGGTCACGTCGACGGCACCCTTCTTGGGGGGAGCGGGGGCCACGGGGTCCCCCGGTTGCTCGACGGAGGTGACCTTGATTCGACCTTCAAGCGACGCCTCCGACTGCGAGATTGACATCAATGCGAGCGCCAACACCACCTTGGACACTGGCAGCATCCCGTCCCTACCATTTGGGCTCGTGTAAACTCTAGTAGACGTATGACCTGAGTGGTTACTTTGGCTCTTGAGCTTGGAAAGCGGCTGCGGCGGCTGCAATATCGCACTCTCGCAGTTCACTGATGCGCGACACGTCGACCTTGGCAGGTCCGTCAATGACCCCCCCGCCTTGGTTCATCAGCGTCGTCACACGCGCAACCGTTGGCGGACACTCTGTCGCAGGGTTTTTCACTTGAGCTATCGTTAGCTGCACCGACGTGTGCATGGGGATGGCGCCCTCCGCGACCACGACCTCTAGGACGTGCTGGTCTTGGAGCCAAGTAGCAATCAGTCCGACTTTCGAAGACCCCGGGGGACGCAGCTTGACGGTCACGCGGGGATGCGCAGCCATACTCCAACCGCCCCCTTTCCGGTCATCCCCAGAATTGGCTTCGCCTAGTTCCGTGGGTAGTTCGACGAGGATCTTCCCTGATTGTTCCATGTCAATAATTCGTTAAAAGTGCAGGGCGTCTAATGTGAACTTGCCGGAATTTGGAATCGCCCCCGTGGTATCAAAATTCAAGTACACGTCCGCCACCGCCGACGGACAAGCGTTGAAAGGCGCCCATCGCTTGGTCCCGAGTAACGCCCCTGCGCTCGAATTATGCTTTCATAACTTGACCAAATAAAGATGCATATATATACCTGGGGCGAGGGTAGGAATGGTGACTTTAGTGGGTCCATCGATGATCTGACCCCCTCGAAACGATGCAGGGATCGTATTGCGGACAACCTTTTGCTCCAACGTCGTCGCAATTAGTTCGCTGCTGGGGGTCGCACAGGCTGGCGTGGATACACCGGATACAACGATGATCAGCGAGGCCCTAGAGTTGTATACAACCACACCAGAACTCTCACTTACTATTCAATGTGTTGGAGTAACACTTGGCTTAAAGTTCGTACCCTGCTTCGATGTCTTCGTCAAGAGTTGTGATGGTCAACGTCGAACCAGTCCACACCGCTTTGGCCCGAGGAGCAGGCCGGCCCAACGAAGCCTTGATGATCACATTCGGTTGCGGCGGCATGCCCCATCCAGTGTCTGGAAACTGCAGCACGATGTTGCTTTCCTTTGGAAGGTGCCCGTTCGTGGAGATGCTGAGGGTGGCAGCCCCCGTGGTTCCAGGGGAGTGCAACCCTGCTTCCCATAGTTTCTTACCGTGCAACACCCCCGCCACAATCACTTTGTGGCGCTGGGCGAGCTGCAGATCCGCCCCTCGCTCCAGCTCTTCGTCATCCGCCGCCATGGTTGACAATGAAGTACTAATTTGCTGTAGTCGGTTTCACAGTGTAACCGAAGAGGAAGTAAGGGGCGTTTGAAAACTGTAGCCGAATTTATAAACCCAAAAGTTGTATTACGCACACACCAGAGCGTAGCGGGGGTCTGCAGAAGGAGATAGTGTAACTATCACGTTGACGAGGAATGGTGAGCCAAGCTCAAATTGTACACTGACGTCAACGTTATCTTGTCGTAAAAAAGCAGGTTGCAGACTGCACCAATTTAACCGGTGGATGGCTTAACTCGATCATGAGACTTTCGGTAATGCAGGTGTGACAAAAAGCCCAAAACTGTGCAAGTGTCGGTGACGACATCGACAACGTTGGTGGAAGGAGAGAAAGATTCAATAATATCCCCAATTCAACTAGGCCATTCCGAGGTGGCACACAGAACGGCATACACTCCGCCCCTTCTCACGCTCGTCCAAGGGGTGGAAGCCGTGGCTGAGTTTGTGTACATGCTGCTGTCGGTGGTGGCGCAGGTGTGGTACCTCCACGACCTGTTCCCCTATCTCACCAACGACATGTGGTGGCGCGACTACTTCAACGCCACGGGGGCCCCGATCTTCTTGGGGGACCTGTACAACCTTCGATTAGTCGTCCGAGGCGGCTGGCGCTGTGGAGGTCCAAATATGCCTCGAGATGGCAACAGCCTTAGCACAATGCGAGGCAGCCTCCTGTGGAAGAAACTTATTTATTTTCAAGTACACTAGTAGCTTTATGTTCTGCTATACGATCCGCATGGAGCATGCGCTGGGTGTGACCCAGCACTTAACGATCAAGGCGTACCCGTACGAGAACCGTGCCATGTCATGGAAGTCATATTTGTTGTACTATGGCATCTGGAACGACTTGGCCATCGCCATGCAGGCCAAATCAGTCATGGTGCGCAACACCAGTCGCTATTCGTGTGACGAAACGAGGCTTCCGACTATGGTGAGCGTGTCGGCGGCGTCGTCGGTGAAGTGGCAGGCAGAAGTGGGGCCGTTCAGATCCATCGATGCAACACTGGTGGCCGTGCCACCGTCGCTGTGCTGACGTTAGAAGCGGCGCCACAACATCGTGCTTGGCGAATGAAACGTTGTCGCATTTTGCTCAAGCGATGCCTCCAGCCCGAACCCCATGTGGACAGATCGTGGTATGGCATTTCTCGTGGCAGTTTGGCGTCTGCTTAGACAAGGCGTCCGCCTCCATCTCGGGGGTGGGCTCTGTGTGCGCGACCGATTCTACCTCCTCGACGTCAACCTGTGGTGCATGCTCGTTTTCAGCTTTCCCGGCCCTGCAAACGACTTCCCTCTCACCACGAGTTTCACGACAAGCGTTCTCGGTGTTGTCGTCCTAGTAGGTTTTACTACATATATTCTGCTTTTTGGTGTGTTTCTCTGCAGCTGCTTTCATTTCCCCTGTACTCCATAAGCAGCCTTAGTAATACTACTGTAGGTCTAGTATGCCCTTCTAGGCCGTCAAGACTAAACAATAATGTAGACGTTGGATACATATATGATGGAATAAATTATTGGTTCAGTTCGGCGTCCAGTGCCGCAAGTCCGCTGTCGTCCGACTCGTCCATCGTGGTAGGATCCAGTTTCGTGGGTCTGGCCGATAGAGCCTTCTTCTTCTTGGGTCGACCAAGGCTTGATGTCGCCTTGATCTTTTTATTTGGATTCAACGCTGCCACACGAGTGCTGTTTCGTGGAGTCATAGTGTGGAGCTTTGGCCTGACAATGTCTAGCTCCCGTTCCAACTCTGCCAACGCCTCGTCGTTGGACGTCCCCCCAGAGTTCACGTCGATGGAGTTGTCGAGAGACGCAGGTTTCTTTCGCTTGGTCCGAGGGTTGAGTGGTCGAGTTCGTTTAGGGGGGTTACTGGGAGGCATGGCGGCAGTCTTGTGCGCCTTGTGGGCAGCTACAATCCCAAGCTCCGAGTTCAACGCGGCCAAGTCGCTGTCGGACGACCACCGGTCGGGTGGGTCCATCTCTCGCTTCTTCTTGTGCTTGTTGCCGAGCTGTTTGGCTGCGTGTATTCTCCCACGTGTTGGAATCACCGGTTGAGGCCCCCCTTTGGACGCTTCGTTCATGTCGTCGGCTGGTCGTTGTATACCTAGCTCGGCCTCCAAGCCTGCCAATTCGTCATCATCCGTAGACTCGAGTCGCACAAATGATAGGTCTGGCCTTGACTTTGTTGTTATGAGAGTCGTCTGTGGTTTCTTCCGCGGGTTCCGAAGCCCAGCCTTGCTTTTTGGTGCAGAGGACACTCCCAGTTCCAACTCCAACTCGTCCAGTCCATCCGACGACGATTCGCCACGAGTCGGTTGGCCATGTAAATCGACAGCTCGTCGCGCGTTGGGAGGCGACACGGCGCTGCTGTTGGTGGCAGACGCACCTGGTGAATTACCAGCTACCGTCGAGGAGCGTTGTGCTGCTGGCGTCAACGGATTCAAACGTCGGTCGAGTTGTACATCACATGACGCCAACAATACAGGGGCTCTGGGGGTCACCTTGTCTTCCGTCGTTGCGGAATCATTTGGTCGTCGGGGGCGTTCTGACGTAGCCGGACGAAGTTCGTCAGGTGCCACCACGTCGGGATGCCCTGCTGGGGTATCAGAGACGTCAACCGGTGGTGGTGCTGCTAAAGACTGTGCTGAGTGTTCAATGACTGGATCGGTCGCCGCCGATGGTGCTATTAAAGGGTTTGGCTGGATCTCAGACTGCTGTAACAGCACGGGGGTCGCTTCGATGCAATTTTTTGTGATAGTGGGTTTGATTTGCGTAGTTGTGACGTGGTGAAGACGCGGCGGTGTTGGCGGCGGCGGGACGACAGCGGGGGGCTTTCTCATGTCCCGAGAACTTGCTACCGACCTCCGACCCGCGGGTGTACCTGGAGAGGTTGTAGCGGTGGTGGATGTGGCAGCTGAAGGAACTGACGGTGATGCGTCGACGGGGGAATTGTGTTGTTGGGCGGCGGTGGGTGGCACGCCTTTAGCTGGGTCCGTTGGATGTGTCGCTGACGGTCCTAGCATGGCGTCCACCTCGTCACTGCTGCTGCTGCTGCTTTCCGAACTGGAAGAAACCCCCGACCCAAAGTCCACGTTGATGTCATTGGTGTTGGAAACCACCCGTCGATCGGCAGTTGCTTCGTCGTGGACAACAGCAACTATGGGGGACGAAACCGATGCTGCTGCAAGTTGGGATGGCGGCGGCGCCGTATTTGTGGTGGGTACCCCATGGATGACGATGGGTCGAGATGGGCCATCTGGCGGGGCTGACAAGAGACATGCAGGAGGACGTGACAGCTCCCCTCCATTCGACACGTTCTGGTGTCGTTGGGGGGTGGAGTGAGCAGCAGCAGAAGCAGAAGGGGGGTTTGCCATCATGGCCCTGGCCCTAGCTCTAGCTAGCGACCGCGCCGTGGGTTGCCCAGGAGGCAGTCGCGACGATCTTACGACAGTTGGAACGGGGGGTGACGATGACTTCTGGGCCATGTGAGATTCCTTGGTGGGGTGGCGTTGCCGATTTGCGTGGACATCAGTGATCGTGACAGTGGCAGGAGGATCGATGGTTGGTGGTTGCTTTGGCGAGGCGGGGGCCATCAGGTCGTCCTCTAACGCGTCAAGGGCGGCGCTGTCGTCACTGGACTCATCAGACAACGAAGACAAGTCCAACGTGGTGATGACGGAGGCAGCAGATGGGGTCACTGGCGTTGCCGAGGCATGGGGCGGATGTTTCCTCCAAACACTCGACGGAGGAACGTTTCCACTGTTTGGCGGTTGATTATGTCGGACATTGTGTTCGATTTCTGCTTCGAAGGCAGCGTCGTCGTCGCTGGAAGACGACAGCGATAACTCGACGTCCGACGTCACTAGAGGGGGGCGGGGATTGGCCGAGTCCAGAGGGGGGGTTGTAGGTCGTGGCGCCATCACTAGTTCGCTCTCAAACTCGTCTGCCCACCCGTCGTCATCCATGTCGTCACCGCTGCTTACTCTTTCGTCACCGCTGCTTACTCTTTCGTCGTTCTGGGTGGTGACGTCACCAGTTCGTGCGAGTATTCCATCGTTGTCGACTCTTAACTGCTGGACAGACGAGTCTTCGACTTGGGTGGTGGTGGTGCTAGCCGTTCGACCTGTCGTCATCACGCCGTCAATGTCATCTTGAAGCAATTCCGATTCCAAATCGGCCTGCAAGATAGCTGCCAACGCGGCATCGTCTGGAACGGCTGTAGACTGTGTGGTTGGTGGTTGTGTCATATATAATAACGACGGCTCTTCTTCGTCTGGGGCGATAGATGGTTCAACCGACGGGTTTTGCAACACCTTGTGAATAGATTGGACAAACTCTGTGAGCTGCGTCTGTTTCGACATGGGGGGCATGTTGTACACCACGACTGGCGCCCGGCGGCGTTGGCGGCGGTGGCCATTGGTCGCCTTTGTTTCGTCCTACTCCATCGTCCACAAACAAGATCAGATGGCATGCTTGGGTCGCCCTGGACATACGCACCTGTGACGGCAGCCGGAATGATGTCATGGCGTCCATATACTCTGAATGCAGCCTCTCAATGTCGGTCACGTCCACTGCCTGAGACACTGTCTACAAGAAATAACAGATGATTCAATCAAAAAGGGTCGACCAGTGGCCTCGTTCGTATACCAGTGCATGGTCGATAGAGTCAGCATGTTCGTTGTCACCAATGGTTGGGGTATCGTAAGGTGGGGGGGTTGGTTGATGGTCTACTAGAGCTGGAGGTGGACTAGTACTGGGCAGTTCCATGGGCCGGGGAAACGAGTACCCGCGCACACACTTGCAAAACGCGCCAGACGTTTCCAGCTGTTGCAACATGCGCAGCATTTCACGGATGGGAGTCGGATGCCGCTGGCGCCATGCATGTGTCCATGTAGTCGGGATTTTGGCCAATTGAACCGCCGCATCTACGCACAGCATGCAAGTGTGTGAGACTACTAGTTAATGACGTTGGATCAAGGTGGTGGAGGTGGTAGGATTAGTAGCAGTTGTACCAAGGTCGAGCAAGATCTTTTGCTTGATCGTGGTGATCTGGCATTCGTAAGTGCAGTACAAAGCGTAGGTGCACGCCACGACGTGCCACACGAACGCTCCTCCTTGTGCGTTGCAACGCCGTTGGTTGATTGACCATTCGTGCAACGAAAGGGCTTGCAAGAGGGACCCTACGCCACAGATTCACAACAAGGACATGACGAGGGATGGCGCACCTAGACAGGCGCGCAGCATGAGATATACGATCTCAGGACGCGTGATGTTGCCAAAGTCGATGTGGTAGATACACGAAAAGCGGTGATCCATCCACAGACTCTTGAATGCTCGGAAGTCCTTGTCATCCTAAGGAGAGTGTTCAATGGTGAGCACTGCGACTTTGAGCCACATGTACCTCGGCCAAGAAGGCTTCCACGATGGCATATAGCTTGGTCTGCATAAGGCTATAGAATTCATCCTTGGTCGCAATGTCCTTGCGCCGGAGCGGCGGCACGCCCGACAGAGGTCTCACGCCCATGTACGTAGGCTCATCCTCCATCAAAGGTTGGCCAACGGACCACGGACCCACTTTTAGTTCGTGACATTCCGGCAAAATTATCCGGAAAAGAAGAATGAAGGTAGATACACAGAATGCATGTTATTACACCCTCTCATTTTTAATAGTTTCTGTTGACGAATCTTTCACCTAAAATCCCCCAAAAAACGCAGCAAATTCATGAAACCAGCCGTGACATCACGATTGCCAGGCATTTACGTCGCGCAATATGATTGGCTGAAACACAGACACGCTCCATTCTAGACCAATCAAACGTCCGTATTTCGCACAGGTTGGCCTTCGAACGTGAAAATTGACCAATCACCGTCGACTTGCGTGGCGCGGACGTTGTTGACTTTTTCGACCACCAATCGTCAGTGTCATTTTTGAAATCGCTCATCATGGCATCGGCATTGTGGACAGAATTCAAGGCACTGACCTCTCCCTATGAGTCCATCGTGCTGGACTGGGCCGACCCGAGCGGCCAGTACAAGCAGAACCCGATGGTCGAGTGGCCGTTGGCCGACTTCAGCTCGGCGGCCGCGATCGCGTTGGCGTACCTGGCGTTTGTGATCGTCGGCACCTTAGTGATGAAGTCGGGTGTGCCCGCCCTCAACACGTCTGCGCTCCAGTTCGTGTACAACCCGATCCAAATCGCGCTGTGCTCGTACATGTGCATTGAAGCGGGTATCCAAGCGTACCGCCACAACTACTCCCCCATGCCGTGCAACGCGTTCAACACGACGTCCCCCGTCATGGGCAACGTCATGTGGTTGTTCTACATCTCCAAGATCCTCGACTTTGCCGACACGTTCTTCATCATCGCGGGCAAGAAGTGGAAGCAACTGTCTTTCCTGCACGTGTACCACCACTTGACCATCTTCTCCATCTACTGGCTCAACTTCCGCGCCTTGTACGACGGCGACGTTTACCTCACCATCATCCTCAACGGATTCATCCACACCATCATGTACACGTACTACTTTGTGAGCTCGCACACCAAGACGATCTGGTGGAAGAAGTACCTGACCACGCTCCAGCTCATCCAGTTCGTGACCATGAACGTCCAAGCCGTGCTCATCATCTCCAAGGAGTGCCAAGGCCCGCCTCAAAACATCGCCGTGCTCTACTTGGTGTACATCCAGTCGCTGTTCTGGCTCTTCATGCACTTCTTCATCACGTCCTACTGCACGGCCCCGCGCAAGGAAGTCGCCGACAAGAAGCGCAACTAAATGGAACACCACCATTCTTGCCATCGTGGTGCACATAACAACACGACATACATCCCTTGATATTCGGCTTGTGGGATGAATTCCAAAGCCTAAATTAGGTGAATGCATAAAAAAGTACAGTATTTGAGGCATGTTTACTGTTAATTGTAAAAGCTATGGTGATGATGCCAGATTCAACGTTTAAAGTAAACCATTAAATTATTGCAAATTCATTCTTTTACGCGAATATATGTGCCTAATTTAACAAAACTGTATCACAACACATTTGTCCTTTTTGAGGCACTTGAGCAAAAGATCGCAGGAGGACGATCACCATGGCGCTAACACGGCGCACCAGCAGTCTCCTGAGCATGCGGTCGGGTACAGCGACGAACATCCTCACGGAGGTACTGACTTTAAACAACACCATGCGGCAGCCGTCCTTCCCTCATCCACCACACAGGTCAAAGCCAGGACGAGGAAAGCGCTACAGGACGCGGAGAAAGTCCATGGAGAGTGTACACGCCAATCGCCCATTCCTGGTGTTGCATCTCATTCTCGTGTACATGTAGTTGACATCCACGTGGCTGACCTGCTGGCACAACTGTCGCTGTACTGCATGATGGGGGGCGAGTTCGACGAAGCGCTGCCGCTTCTTCATCGAAAGCTCGTGATCCACGAAAAGTTTGGACCGGACGACAGCGTCGGCGACACGCTGCAGCAGCTCGGCACGGCCTACCGCCTGTACGCCAACCACACATTGGCGGCGCAGCATCTCGAGAAGGCGCTGGATCGGCGGGAAAAGAAGGCGGCGGCGGCGGCAACAGCCTCTCAGGATGGCGGCGCATTGTCGACGTCCCGAAAAGACAACCAAAAGGTGGCCGAAACACTCAACAGTCTCGCGCTACTCTACCACGTGTACGTTCTTCTCTCCTACCTTTGGCACTTATACAGTAGACTATTTCAGCCAAGGCAATGCGGCCATCGCAGACGACTACCACACGAGGAGTCTGGTGCGATACGCTGCTTGTGTGGGGGAGGACGACAGTCAGAGCGAAGACATTCCATGGGAAGTGTTCAAGCGCATGCAGTCGGCGGCGCCGAGCGTGGCGCAGAACAGCATGACGCTGCTCAAGACGAATCTCCGCATGGCCATGCAAGCAGATGCGGCCGTGGCATCGACGACATCCCCGAAACCAAAGACATTCGACTTGCCTGTAGCTAGCCACTTGAAAGCTGCCCAAGATACCACAGAACAAAACACTCTTAGAGTGAGAAAGCACCGGTCGTTGTCACTGGGCTCGAGTCCGCTTTCAGCCCACGGCGGCCCCGCCAACGATCTACAGGTCCAAGGTACTCATTCGTCAGATCAAGTACAAAAGTACCCAATGAGTACCATGAACGACCTAATCAATGAGTACTAAGTACCTTTCCTTCCGTTTTCTACCTGGTGATACATCCCTATTTACAAATTTGTTCCTATGTACAGTACTAGTAGTATTTCTCGATGGGCTAACTAGACTATATTATTATTGCGTTCACAATAAATACTGTATATATTGATATATCTATGTAGGATGGAATAATATTTCCGTCCCGCGCAACAATGGTTCCACGACAACGACCCCATCGCTTCGGCATCACCAGCATCACGTGAGCGCGGACACCGCGGCGGCGCTGACCGGCCCTTCCCAGCCACTCGTTCCCCGAGGAGACCGTCCGGTCCCGCACGAGCCCATCACGAGCTTCGCCGTGCTCGTGGCCCGCATCGAAAACGTCAAGCGGAGTGTCGCAGCAGGTCCTTCCATCGTCGTCGTTAGACTCTGTCTCACACGCTTTATCGCAGGTCGCTCCGCCGTCGTCGAGCCGGATGTGAACCGACTTGCGTGTGACATTGCGCTGATTGCCGCGGGCGACTTGCGCCAAGTGGGGCTGTCCATGCTTGGCTTGTTGTACGATGCCCTCAAGCTATCAAAGCAGTTGGACCAGCGACAGGTAACATTTCTTATGACTGTAGCAGTATACTAGTAGTAATACTAGTAGTAGTAGGTGCTTGATAGTGTATGGTTTGTAGGTGCCCGTGTTGGAAGGGTACTTGGACAAGAAAAGCTCGTCGCTGTTTCGGGGATGGGAGCGGCGGTGGTTCAAACTGGACACGCAGACGGGAGTGCTCACGTACTTTCACTCACAGGATGACCAAGCGCGGGGATTTGCGCCGCGTGGCACGTTTGCACTGTCGCGCATCTCGCACCTTGTCACACACCAGCACCTCCGGTACAACCGTCCAAGGCTATATATATATATATATATATATATATATATAGGGGAAGCCACTAATATATATATATCTATTGATATATAGGGGAAGCCACTAATATATATATATATATGTATATTATAGGGGAAGCCACAAATATATATATATATATATTGATATATAGGGAAAGCCACTAATATATATATATATATTGATATATAGGGGAAGCCACTATGCGTTTGATATTGTCGTGGACATGAGCACCCGAAGCAATCCGCACGCGTGTCGGACGTTTGAACTGCGGTGCAACTCCGAGTCGGACTTGAACGATTGGGTAAATGCGATCGAAAAGTTCCAAAAGGTAGCAAGTGATGGTGCCAGCTCGTCCGTCGCTCCGTCGACCAGGACGTAAGACTTGTCATAATAATGTCAACGTTGGAACTGAGTGTCGCTGGTGTTGCTTCTCGGTTATGGTTACTTGCAAGTCAGTATTCCATACTACCTACTAGGTACTGTACTACGGTAGCATAACCAAGTTGATTGATTAGTAGGGATGGTTCGTCCATAGTACTAGTATCATGTACTAGTAGTGATGTGCATACTAACTAACTAGTTAGTATGCACATCAGGAGGTTTGACATGACACTCCAACAAGGTATGGATGGGATGGCAGCATGAAGGCGGGCTTTTGGTCTGCTGGGCTGTTTACATTCAACAGACCACGTATACGTCCGAGCTAGCACCACCGACAGCTTCATCATGGAGGGCCTTGTACGCGGCCGGACGACCTCTGTGAAGACCCTGGCAATATCACCGAGGGGCTGGGGGAGGGTCGTACTAGTAGAGGATGAGCCCCCTCAAGAGGCAGGACTAGAACCGCCGAGCGGAAGGACTGGGCCACGGCCCGCTTCTTCCGACAGAGTTGCGATGGCACTTTGCACGATGACACCACCGGGGCTACTGCGGACGACGGACCCGTTCGCCATGTCATGTCGCTGTACACGACCGCCGCTGGCACTTGACGGTATGTGCGACGTCGCAGTGTTTGGAAACGACGGGCCACGTGGACGCTATCGCCGAGTCGCTGGTCGATGGATGTGTCGGCCTCGACGGCCAAAGGACTAAACATGGGGAGTCCATGTATACATGCGAGGGTTGAAGCAGTCGGCAATACACACACATGCGCGCCGGTGGTCGTGTTCATGAGCATGTGCGACATCGTCAGAACCGAGTACTATAAGTACACCATCATCACAATGATGATCAGTTGAACCTAACGAGGAATGACAAAAGGGTTGGTGTGTGACACTGCGACAGAGTTCACGGCACGTTGGTCACACTTACAAACTAAGTTTCCAATGAATGATGGGACGAGGTATGTACGTACCCGCGATAACTTGCACTACAGTATGCGATACAGTACACTACTGTCGTGTGGACTTGTCACACATTGAAGTCGTTGCAAGTACTGTATCAATCGCTTCTACTCCTCCAAGATGCACGTCATATTCATATGAACCCCATCACAAGTTATCCATTGTATTGTGGTACATCATCACGTCGTGATTGTTGACCCCACGAGCGACTGGACGCGGCTGTCGTACACTTCGCCGCGCATTCCTTGTTGCTGTCCTCGGCCATACACTTGGCTAATGACGACATCGGGCACGGGCACCCAAACGCCCACACTCGGCTTGTTCTCCGCCGCCACCAGCAGTAGCGCATCATGGAGGAGTCTGTTCTCGTACCCGTTGGTCGGGACGGTCTTTGCAAACCCCATTGGGCATGCTTTGTCCTGGCTATCAGATACGACGATCCATGTGGCATTCTCAGTTGCTTTGCATGCGATGGCCATATCCGCGGTGGCCGCGCATGGCCGCGACGTCCACCGCGGGGACTGCCGCATCATGGCCGTGCAGTGGAGGGGCCCCACGGCCGTGGGTTCCGACGGCGCGAACGACCACACCATTGCCTCCATGCGCCGCGGAGTGACGTTATCGGGCGACGGAATGTTCACATTGCACTCGAGAAGCTTGGGGAGCTCGGCTTCGTCGATCAAGTGCACGTTCGGGCCGAGGTGGCCCATCGCGTTGAGCAGCCCGTACTGTATCTCACTTGTTTCTGGGCGAAACAGCACGCCTTTAGCCGTCAATGTCGACAGAGGTGACTTGTCAAAGCGGCAGTCGGGGTACGGGGCGAACGGCATATCTGGCTCTTGCCATGAACATAGAGACTGCTTGTAAAAGAGTAAGTCATCGCCGACGGGGGAGTAGTTGGACGCCGACAGGAACGCCACACGGATGCCTTGGGCCAAGAGCGCGTCGAACGTCGGCCATGGACCTGTGACATCGTTTGGACGGAGGATTTCCTCGATCGGGAACGCCGACTTGATCGCGTCCAGCAGCCGTTCCACCTTGTGCCACTTGAGAAGGTTCGCTTCGTCGTCAAAGTAGATGAGCAGGAACTCGTGCGCGTTCTCTGCACGATCATGGATCCCGATGTAAGAATGACAGATGAATGCCGACAACAAAGAAGAGAGGGCTGGCTACGCACCGGGCTGATGCAGCCACGCGGCGATCTCGTCGAGCGCGGCCTGGACAGGTCGTTGGGAGTGCGCGGGGATGCTGCTCAGCGACGGACTGCATCCGACAGTCTCTGAGTCCCATTCGATCTCGATTCCCAGGCGTTTCGCGACCTTGTTGAACCAACTGATGAGCTCGTCGAGCATCGGCGACTCGAACCCGCCGCAGTGCGCGATGCGCAGGTCGTTGTCAACCCAATGCACATCCAACTCGAGCAGCCGCGCGCCCAGTCGAAGTTGATCTGTGAGGGAGAAGAGCTACGACATGTATTGTGACACGACAAGATCACGTTATATAGAGGCAACGTTAGGTAGGTATGTACCTGGTCGTTGGTGTGGACACTGAGGTGTGGCGGCATCCAAGGAATGTACGCCAGCAGCTTTTGAAACACATGATCTTCCACGCCATAGCCCTACGTCATACCCACACACATGAAGCAACGTTCTGTTGGGCTTGGAATGTTGACGACCCTACATCGACGATGGTAATGGCCGAGTTGTGGGTGCCGGGCAGCTGGGCCTCACATAGCGAATGGGTGTATGCGAGTTTGCGCTGCAGCGCCAGTGCGCGGTCAGCCCATGGAGCGATGGCAACGGTCCCGCGGTCGCACACGACGACACAAACGTTGTGATCGTCGCATTTGCGTACCTTGGAGCATTTCACCCCCGCGGGAACCGTGTCGATGTCAGGTTCACGTGGTGATGCTGCACTTCCGTCATGGATTGCATTGATGTTGCCGAGCGCGGCGGTGATGGATGCAAGAAGCCACGGTAGCGTCTTCATAAGCGTCGGTCTTACTGCGATGGGAAGAAGAGTCCAGTAGGCGGTAGATACATTTTAGTCGTCAAGAATTAATTATAAAATAAAATAAACCTATAAACAAATGAATACAAAAAACAAGTGAACGTTAATATTTACGAGAATTGAGGTGAATGAAATAAGGATCCTGGATTTCTTCACCCTTCATGACATGTAACGGCCCGCGACATGCTCGGTACATCAACGGCCGACCGTGAAGGCACCCGTCAATGATGGATACGCACCCAAGATGGACGGGTTGGTGAGAGATGGCGCTCATGAAGCATGGCCAAGTGACCTGAATGGGGGAAGGTACAGTAGTCGTTACGACAGTTACATCGTCGCCAGCCCAACCCAGTTTCTATGGAGTCGACGCCGACGCAACAGAGTGACAGTCGAACGTTGTTGAGCCCCACCGATGTGGCAGGCATGCGAGCGGTACGTGAACGAGTCCTGCCATTGACCAGCAGTACTTACCATGACGCCTGTAGCTGTTTGCGTACTACGATACCAACCGCGACGGCAACCTCTCGTCTGTCCAAGCATTGCGCATCTTTCAACTGGTACTCTTATCATGGTTGGGATATCCATGCTTCATGGCAAGTTAGCTTGGGTTGTCCGTGAATGAAGCCCATGTCTACGACCTCGAGCAAATGTCCTTTGCAGGTGCATACGCATCAATCATGTACCGCATGAGGAATTCACATGCCTGTCCTCCATAGAATTCGTGACCATTGTCGACTGCCATGTTCGTTCCACACAGACGCCCGACCCCGCTGCGGAATGGGCTGCTGTCAACCACTTCCGCAACGACAAGGTGTCGCCCCAGCAACTCGCGTACTTCCTCGCCAACTGCGACAAGCTCATCCCAGAATCGCATCTCCAGCGCTTCCTCATGCTTTACACGTAGTCACAATGTTCTTCAAGATTTGATAAATCGCTACTTTGTTCCCCTTTTTTGGTCGAAAATTCGATTTTTCGCCGGATTTGGTGTCAAATTCAATGCTTTTTTCGTTCATTTTTCCAACGTGATACTAAATTGATCATATTTTCTTGCTTCTAGCACTACCGACGAACAAGTATTTATCGACTTTCCGAATTTTCACAAGTTTTTGAAGGATTACCGCGCTCGACCGCAGAGCATGCCGCCGATTCCGTCCGATGTGCGACCGAATGCTGTTCAAGCGCATCATATTCCGATCCCGGAAGGGGGGACAAACGACGACCGTTCGACGAAGGCGACACTGCTCGAAGAGGACGAAAACGATAACAACGAATGATTGATGCAATGGTATGGATTAACAGGGATGGGTTTCCCAGTAGATTACGGCGCCACTGCGGTTCCTGCGGCATTCGACGTGGCACGCTTTTTGGCCTTGGCCTTGCGCTTCTTGTTGCGGTTCTTGGCAGATTTCGACGGGGACGGCGCACTGGCCGCGTGTCTCTGCAGGAACGCATGGAACCCTTCCTTGTCTACGTACAACGAGTCCGCTTCCAAGCTGTATGCACAATGAGTGTAAGAATCGCATGAGGGGCAAGAGTAGTCGTACAGGTTGGCGGCGGGGGTGCATCCAGAGAGGAACTCGAGGATCGCGTTCTGGGGGATATCGAGGTGGCAATTCTGCAGAAACTCGTGGAGTTGGTTGTACGAGATCGTGTTGTCCTGTCGCATGTGTGGCAGTGGTGGTAGCTTCTCTTCTAATTCGTCAATGTCGCCGGCGGCCGAGGAGGGTCGCGACACGCTCTGCGCTTCCAGGGAATGCATGAATTCTACGTCGTCCAGCATGAGCCATTGTCTTCTAGCAACTCATGAGGCGCAACATACCATCCAAAGGAATGTCTTCTAGCAGTTTGATCTGGTCGTCGGTGAGCTCCAGCCCGAGCTGTGCATGTCAAAGAACCGTTCATGGAGGCCTCAAGGTACGCAGCAGTATGGTCTTCCTACCACTTGGAACACCTTGCGCGTCTCTTCTGGGGTCAGGTTCACATCGTCGTCTTTGTTGTTGTAGAATTCCAAGATCTACCCATGCGCGGACCTCAGCATGAGCTTCTTCGCGTCCCCATATGAATCACTCAGCATGTATGTAGATGTAGGTACCGATTGCATTGATGTGGGGGTGTCCATGATGTCGGATGTGTTGTCTTCGCGCGCGTTTGAAGAATGGAGCGGTGGATTTATTTGTGTGCATGCAAAAATCCTTCGACGCGTTTTGATTGGTCCGTTGGAATCTTCGAAGGTAAACCCTTAACCTTCCACGTCGGAACCGACAGCGCGGCAATCGAACAAGTCCGTAGTGTCAACGAACGAGATGTATGTTTGGAGGTGCGGGTGGAACGAGATAGGGAGATGGTGTCGACCACTATATCCCCAACGGCCCCAGGATGCCAAGGACGTCGCATTCCCAGAGAACATGAGCATGTCACTGCATAGTTTATGTACGTATGTATGTATGCAAGCAACGAAGTGACCAACGCGTCCAATGGAGAAAACCGAGCAAGTTGGGACTTGTGGTGGCAGCTCGCACTGACGAGTTACGACCTATCGTTGATTGCGACGTCTACATCTACATGCAGCATGCTCCTGAACGTTAGCGTTAACCTTCATTTGAATCAATCCATTCTGGCAGTGACGTCATATGTACCTTACCTCACTGCTCATATTTCTCCGCTGTGGGAGTGGGGAACTGGATTATGGTCACTAAGTAAAGGGAATTGAGTAGTACTAGGGAATTAAATATATTATTCAATTTCGCTTGCTTTAGAATGATATTTCGGCATATTATATCATTTTGATGATAATTAAGACCCTCGGAATACTGACTTTGACTTTTCTGACAGTTTCCACGTCATTTTTTATGCTTGGCGCCATAGCACGAACTTGCATGAGTGAACCAAGCCCAGAGACGGTCCCGGCGGCAACGGACTACGCCGCCTTCGGACAAGAAAGCATCAAGATGCTGACTGACCGCGCCTCAAGCAAGGATACCTCCATCAAATGGAGTCTCGTGAAGCAGTACGATGGCATTGACATCTCCCGCGGTGTCGTGGAAGGAAACGACTGGAATGCCATCAAGGCAGTGGGGATTGTCCGTTGCGCCGCACGATTTCTCGCAGACCGGTTGACAGATCCCAACGAAATGAAGTCGTTCGACAACAACACGGACGTTTGTGATGTCTTGGACGACGTCGACGACCACACCAAGGTGCTGCATGTGCGGGCCAAGGCCGTCTTCCCCACCACCGCGCGGGACTTTGTCGTAGTGACCGCAATAGGACACCTCGCCGACAAGTCGACCATCGTGATTGCATCGCGGTCTGTGGAACATGCCCACGCTCCCATCGACCCATGCTATGTTCGGGCGACGACGTACTTGTCCGGATACCTTCTTCGACCGACGTCGCCGTCGTCATGCGAAGTGACGATGCTGGTGCACATGAATCTGGGCGGTTCCTTGCCCTCGTTCATCATCAATATGCTAGCAGTCGATGCCCCCATTCACCTCCTCGGCAAGCTTCGTACGTTGTACGCAGAGGTCGAGCACGATATCGACGAAGATTAGAACGACCGATGTAACATGCAGCACCGGCAGTACGACTGGAGGAACACTGCCGACCGGCGTAGACGTCAAGCATGATGTATACCATTGCAAATATATATATATATATACACTTGTCTGTTTCCAAACTTAGTGTTAGTCGTCAAGTAGGATTTCTAATTGGCCGCACTTTTGAAATATAATATATATATATATATATATACCTGACAGTGATTTTTTCGCTGTTTGCCGATACAAATTTCAACGAACGCTAACTATTAATAGTTGCAATAAACGTATCTTAAGTCAGCGACCCAAATGCGCTGTTAAAGTACCCGTAGATCATGAGCAAGATCCAGAGGTAGCTGAACGGAACGCCCATAATCCACAAGAAGAGAAAGATCAGGATGAGGTTGCCGCCGCTGAGCGCGGACGCTTGCTGCTGTGGTGCTTCCTGCGCTTGGCCAGCTTGCCGAGGCTGTGCCCGTCGACCTCGCTGTTGGGGCATGCCGCCGCCAGGACCTCCGAAATGGAACGCGAAGCCCGGGCCACCGAAGTGTGACATGTGCACCCGTTGACCGCCCCCTTGCATGCCGCCCTGGCCCTGGAAGAACGCGTTGAATGGATCTTGCCCGCCAAAAAACGCCTGAAAGATCTCTTCTGCGTTATGCTGATTGAAGTGCGGATGCATGCCGCCTGCGCCCGCGCCATTCGACCCGTCGACGGCGGATTTCCCGAACCGATCATACGTTTGCTTCTTGTTTTCGTCGGACAGGATCGAGTAGGCCTAGCGACAAGGAATAACGTTGCATGGAATGTGGACATGAGCTACCTCGCCGATTTCTTTGAACTTGACTTCGGCCGCCGCTTGATTGTCGGGGTTCTTGTCTACAATCGCCGCCGATCTCATGAGGTTGAACGCGATGATGGGTCATGGAAACATACCTGGGTGATACTTGATGGCTAGCTTTCGATATGCCTTCTTGATCTCATCTTGCGAAGCAGACTTGGGGACCCCCAGCACATCGTAGTAGTCAGCCATCAGTCGATATGTCGGTCACTCGCAAGGGGCCACTTGGCGTCGGGTATCGGCCCTTGGAAATGGACCAATCACCAAGCGTTCTCAATATTCCGAACTGCCGCCGTGAAAATCGGAACATTCACTGATCATGTCCTATATTTATTTAAAATAGGAATCACTTCATCATTATTCTGCGACTTTTAATACTATCTCCTGGTCATACGCGGCGTTTAAAGCGATGAAAGAAATTAGATTTGAGAGGTCCCAACGACAGGAGAATTTCGCTCCGCTGATGTGACGACGCGAAAGCTCTCTGTTTCATTGGAAAGATGAGTTGCAAAACTTGTTGCATCTCAGGGTTAAATTCGACGGGGAATTAATATTCCGTAACGTTAGAATGGAGCGATGTTGTAAGCTTACTCGTAGTCAGGGCAGAGGAAACTAACTATGTTTATACGGTGGTCTGGTAAACACCCCAATTTTTGCCCAATTAATATTTCGAAAATTTGATTCAAAGTAATTCGAAGGATTTGGTTGTCACCTACTATTAATATTAATATTAATAGTATTTTCGACTGTCTGGATCAAACGGATTTCGAAAGATTCTCAGTTATTCCCAACAAAAGTGCCATGAACCTGTTTTACTTCGAAGTATGTTTTTGGCGAAAAACGCGATACTACGGAGTATTTGGCAAAAAGCTGAATTCTCCAGACAGATAATTTTTCATTTTTTGCCGATTTTGTGAAACATCGAACTGTAAAATAGAGGAGCCAATCATTGACTATAATTGAAATATTTTCACCAATCAATTGCAAGCATGGGCATCGATGCTCTCAGACGCACGGCTGGTACGAGTAAATGCAGCGTAATTGAAATCGGAGTTGCTTCGTATGACTACCCTCCTGGCTGGGCTGAGCGACACAGCTCGTGATCATCTTGTAGTACCAAGTGGGCAATTGACCTCCACGCACTTTTATATTCGCATGTTTGTCTTCATCAACATCAACTGTAGCCTGAATCACTATGTACTTGGGGATTAATTGAGCCTAACGTTAGGGCCCAATTCAGTCTACATATTCGTCATCGTTGATCCATGATTCCATCGGCCGAGTGGCCATAACCGCACAAGCCTGTATATTATCTTGGAGGGGCAATTACAGTAAGGTAACGCATCGAAATCCCGAACAGCATCGAAATCGCGAACAGTGTCAATTTTGACCAATGAATAACTTCCCTTGGTGGCCGATGAAAATCTATTGGCTATGATTATATTCACCACTCCATGTTGACTGAATCAAATTCAATGTAGATTAATTCCAAATAACAATATATTATCCTGCATCCACTATGATGTTGTTGAGTTCTGTCATTAAAATTGTGTTGAATATAATGTTTTTTGTTGACATTTTGAATTAAAACATCCAGATTAATATTGGTGATGTTATTTTGCAAATTTTTATAGCATCATACTCAAGACAAGACATTTGAGTGTTCGCGATTTCGGAATTCTTGAAGTTCCCAACTCGGCACGAAAGTGGTGATAATAATTTTCGTCCAAATCGCAAATCTCGTTCAATTGTGTTTGAAATGGCACATAAAATGGAGCTTGAATTATATTTTCATTGGGTGCCCTCAGATTTTCTCAGAGTAGTCTGGTTTCTCCAGGACATCAACTTGAATGGGCAGGTCAAATTTGCGGCAAAAAGTGTTCGGGATTTCGATGCGTTACCTCTGGCCCCCGTGTTTTCTACGATAATTTGTGTCAAATTCAATTCAAATATAATTTCACAAGTTTCTTGTAAAAATCTGTTTTGACAGCAAATGCACTGTGTGGGAACTACGGTACTTTATACAACCATTTTTCCGATACATGTATACAGGTGACCAAATATGCAAGATAATATATACAACTCCAAAGTGTATATTTTGTACTGCGTTGTTTATTTTGTGCGAGAATTCGGCATTCGCACACTTTCTTCGAATATGTCGTTCAAGATGGAGACCTTATTGAGAGTTTTCTTGACGTATGTGGGTACTGCATGAAGGAAACAAACAGACTGTGTCGGTGCCTATATCACCAAGCTAGTTGTGCATACCGGCAATTGAAGGTATGTGAATAGCAGCTACCGGTAGATGTGTGAATGCATACCAGCAGTCGAAGATGTGCAAATGCTAGACACCAAAAAATATTACTGCGGATATTTCCTTCAATCGATTTTCGGAAAATATGAATTCTAGTACTTTTCAGATTCTAGCAGATCTTGAAAAGAGGGGCCAGAGGCACCCTAAGGGTACCTAAAATAAAAAAACTATTTTTTCCCTGCCCTGCTCGTAAAAATACCTGGTACTCCGTACTACTGTACATCGAAGTACTTACTTACTATACGTATGGGCGCGGTTCCGTGACAAATTGGTTCCGTGCCACGATACATATTAATAGGTAGAAAACAATCACTCTGGCATTTTCAGCCAATCAGATGCAATTGTTGACAGGTACCTGGATAAAATCAAGTGGCTCGGAACTGTTTTCAGCTAACTTACAGTTAATTTAAGGCTTATGGATATTTCCACTCTTTTACTACGTAGTAATTCATTTTCCATCAACACTAACGTTAATACGAATTTCGACATGATTTTACTGTTAACTGTAAGATGTGAAACCGCACTTGTGAAATTTAATAATACCGTATAGTGTATATATTGCGATGGATTAACCTATTGCGATTCCTGTAATAGCTGATAATTGTCTTGTAATAACTGATATTTACTTGTGAATATGTTTACTGTTAACAAAATTTTGAGAACGAGAGTGTCGGCTGGTTGTGAAATATCACCAGTCGCAATACTTGTACACTATACGGTATGTCTGCTTTTCACTTTGCAGTGTGAATGGAAAAATTCATTTCAACTTGAACGGGAAATGGTATAGTATTGAATACTAATAATAGAGTTATTGAAATGTAATGAGGTATTTCCTGTAGAAGTCGATACTATCTGTGAGCGTGCTCTCGATGGTCATTGTGCAAGCCCTGCGTGTGAAGAATGCGTCGATCATTCATCATGGGCATGTTCTTCTGTAACGTTAGTAGTACTACTGTAGTAGTTCTTTATGGCCAATCTGAACTCAAGGGTTGTTACTCTAGTATTATTGGTAGGAATGACCACAACTAATAACATTTGACAGTACACTTCGTTAATACTGATGCGGAAGGCGGCGCCTAGATCGACAAAGCCGCCATCGCTCCTCGTTCAGTCGCGACGCATCCTCATTCTTCCATGTGCATATGGTTCGTCAGCCCCCCCCCTGTGCGTCATGCGCTGTCTCCGTGGGTGTTCGGCGTGTAACACTTGAAGTAACTTTTACTTTTTTGTTGGCATACAGTTTGATAGATAATCTCCCGCAGCGCTACGATTGGTCCATACCTTGGATACAAACCTTGTGCTCGGGAAAACGCAATCGATGATTGGTGATAATTAATAATTTTCAAGGCCTGGATTGGGCCTTTTTTGTGTACTTCGCCACTGATTGGTGGATTCTTCATATATGATACCGTCCCGGCTTTTCATCACCTTGTCTGGCACTTTGCAACCACATCAAACAATGTTGCCGCGGGAGAGCTTGGCCGTCGGTGGCGCGTCCGTGCGACCGTCTCGTCCTCGCGCCGCGGAGGTCTCCTTCGACCTCGATGCGCCGTCCAACTCGTCGCTGGTGTTCGAACCCGCGGACACCATGACGTTCACGCTCCTGCATGCGACGCCTTCCAAGACATTCCAGTTGCTCTCGGTTGTGAATATACACCCCACCCACACCACGCTCTTCAGCGTCAAGACCCTCAAGCCCGAACGATACTTCATCAAACCCAGCAAGGTCATGCTTGGACCTCGGGAACACATTGTCGTCCGGATCGAGCTCCGCCAAGCGCTGTACGACGAAGTGCTCGTGCATTTCTCCCAGGACCGCAAGGTCGTGGCCGATCGGCTTCTCATCCAGAGCGCGTTCAACACAAACCCCGTGCACGACAGCACGTTCCAAGCGGCGTATGTGTTCAAGAACGAACCAAAAAGCAAAGCCAAGGACGCAGCATGGGCCGCCGCATGGAAGACCTTTCCATCGACCCACATCCACGCCAAGAACCTCGTCATGCAATTCGAAGCGTCGCCCGATTTCGGCAAGGTTCCGTTCCGTCCAACCATCGACTCCACAAGTACACCCTTCGCCCTGGGGGGGACATCCATAAATCGACGAACAGAAGCCGCGGTGTCGGACCTTCCACCGCTCTTCACCACTCACGAATCCATGTACTCGATCGAAGAAGCCGGGTACGATTTCCCCATCCCCATGCAGCAAACCCCCCGCCACCCCCGTCGCTCCCATCTAACGCCAGCCTCCAAGCCCGTCGTCCTCTACGACCCAACCCGCAGATCTTCCGTCGTCGGGTTTCAGCGCGAAAAGGCCGATCTGTCGCTCGCGCTCACACCGTCCTCAGAATCCCTTGTCTTTGCCGTGTCCCCGCACAAATCCACATCCCACTCGATCATGACCATCGAGAATCTCGCGCCGACGCAGCGCGTGTGCTTTGCTGTGCGCATCGAAAGCAAGTTCCGGTGCAAGGCCCTGCCGTACCGCGTCGGGTACATCGACGGCGCTGGCACTGCCTCCGTGCAGCTCGAACTGGCCTTGTCGCTGCACCAGGATATCCTTCATCTCTTGGGCCGAGCCGAGGAGATTGACCCGTTCAAAGTGCGCGTGCAGGTCATGGAAATGGATGCAGCTGCCGCGGCCGCCACCGCCGCCCTCCCCACAGATGACGCGCGCGCGCAGTTCCTCAAGGCGCTATGGCAAAGCCCCCCCAATCGAATGTTTGTACAAAAGTACACGGCCGTGTTCGTGTTGGACGTCATGACGCCGCCGCCGCCGGTTACCGAGATGCCGGATAGCAAAGAACAACATGCCAAACAAGAAGAAGGAGAAGAAGACGGCGAGGACCGGCTGTCGGTCGTGTCCGAGTGCGCGTCGTATGCGACAGCGTTCACGAGAGCCCCCCCCATGCGCCCCATCATGACCCCCCTCGAGCATCTGCAGTACCAGCGCACGTTGAATCGCCATTTACTCAGTCAAAACGATGGAGATACAGTGCCGCCGATGCGCCCGACCATATTGGAGCTCACGGAAGCAGACGAACAGTACGCTCAAAGCAAGTGGCAACAACACCGACAACAAGAGGAGGACGAGCCAGAGGCAGAACTCACGCCTGGGCTCGACAAGAAACGCAGCCTTCCCACGCTGGCGGAACCCCAAGACCCGCCAGTCATTCCCCCCATCGAATCTGTTGTCCACGACCCTGCAGAGGTTGTTCCACCCACGATTGAACACAACACAACCACATCCCACATCCCATCCAACGCTGTCGCAGCGTTAACGTCCCCCGACAAGGAGGAAGAGAAGAAGGAAGTTGCTAATGTGGTGGTTATGCCAGAAGAGAAGGTGGCTGACTCGCCGGTTGCGTATGACGAGCCCACGGGAACGTTTTACATCGTCCCAGCGCCGCCATCGACCTCTCCATTGGCTGCTTCGTCGCTTACTTCCGAGCCGGCGGCGGTGGCTGTAGTGACCTCTCCCGTGGCTGCTTCGCCGCCTACTTCCCAGCCGGTGGCGGTGGCTGTAGTGACCTCTCCAATGGCTGCTTCGTCGCCTACTTCCAAGCCAGAGGCGGCTGTAGTGACCTCTCCCGTGGCTACTTCGCCGTCTACTTCCAAGCCAGAGGCGGCTGTAGTGACCTCTCCTGTGGCTACTTCGCCGCCTGCTTCCGAGCCAGAGGCGGTGGCTGTAGTGACCTCTCCCGTGGCTGCTTCGTCGCCTACTTCCCAGCCGGCGGCGGTGGCTGTAGTGACCTCTCCAATGGCTGCTTCGTCGCCTACTTCCAAGCCAGCAGCGGCTGTAGTGACCTCTCCAATGGCTACTTCGCCGTCTACTTCCAAGCCAGAGGCGGCTGTAGTGACCTCTCCTGTGGCTACTTCGCCACCTGCTTCCGAGCCAGAGGCGGTGGCTGTAGTGACCTCTCCCGTGGCTGCTTCGCCGCCTACTTCCCAGCCGGCGGCGGTGGCTGTAGTGACCTCTCCAATGGCTGCTTCGTCGCCTACTTCCAAGCCAGCGGCGGCTGTAGTGACCTCTCCAGTGGCTGCTTCGTTGCCTACTTCCAAGCCAACGGCGGCTGTAGTGACCTCTCCCGTCGCTGCTTCGCCGCCTACTTCCGAGCCAGCGGCGGTGGCTGTAGTGACCACTTCCGTCGCTGCTTCGCCGCCTACTTCCAAGCCAGAGGCGGCTGTAGTGACCTCTCCAGTGGCTGCTTCGCCGCCTACTTTCGAGCCAGAGGCGGCTGTAGTGACCTCTCCCGTGCAGCAAATAATCGTGACTCGTTCGGCGCCAACTGCGTCGTCGACACCGCCGCCAGTGGCTACCATCGTACCTCGAACCACCGCTCGCTCGTCCATCGCGTCTTCGTACTTGGCTGCCGTTTCTTCCTCCATCTCGTCGTCGTCGTCGTTGTCGTCTACACGCATGTCTTCGGAACCCCCAACCACTACGACGAACCCTCCTAGTGTCCATGTTGTGCCAGCGACGTCAGTTGTAGGGCCAGGCGCCGATGTGACCTCTCCGTCGGACCAGGTTGGTGGTGTATCGACTGCCCCGTCGTCGGTTAGTGACGTGGCAGTCGCTGGGGATGCCACGTTGTTATCCTCCCGATCACTCGAGCAGCTGTCTTCTCGGTCGCTGGTGTTATCCGAGGGGTCGCAAGACGACTCGACGTTTCACACACTTCGGCCGTCTGTGTCGATGGACCCCGATACGCTGCTCGTGGAAGCCGCCATGGCATCGTTGGATCCGATCATTGAAAGCCATGAAGGACACAGTTTTGTGGAGCAGCCCCATGTTTCTCCAGTCTGTCGGCAATCATCTATCAGCAACGCCCATAGCAACTATGGAAGCAGTGGCGACTACGATGGGAGCTATGACGAAGTACACGAAGCCCCGCAATATGAACAACTCGAGGCCGAACACGCCGATACCAGCAGCCTCGACGACGACAGCAGCGAAGCACACGACGACTTTCACGGACACAAGGATATGTGTCATCCCCAAGTTCACGACCAAAAGTGGACGCCCCGACCGTCCACGATCGACGACATCCCGTCAGGGTTTTCCATTCTCACATTTCCAAGCGAACCACCACCCGTCATCACGACGCCGCCGGGCAAGGCCGCCCCCATGGACTGCTGGGAGTACGATACAGAACAGCAGCAGCAGGCGGTCGTGGAACCCTCCAGCCCCCCCGACTCGCTTCACGATCGCGTTAGCATCAACAACCTCACGCTTCCAGCTCCACTGGTCCATGGCGTCATGACGAGATCGCCGGAACCGTCGCCGCCGCCGCCTACTAGCTCGACCACGCCCAAATCCAAGTCTCGATTCTCGCTCTTGAAAGCATTTGAGCGCAACCACGGCCCAAGCAAACCTGTGGGACTAGTGACACTGACCCCCCAAACCATACTGTATCACATGGATGTCGGGTCCGCCCCGTCGGGCAGTGTCACGTTGACCAACCTCACGTCCTCTGTGGTCGTGTACAAGGTCAAGAGCGCGCATCCATTGCGATACAAAGTCAAGCCGACCCAGGGGTTCCTTGAACCAAAAGGTCATTGTGTGGTCACGATCGATTTGCATCCCACTGCGTACAACGACCTGCTGTGTCTGTCCAATATGGAACTCGGCGACATCCGGGACTGCCTCCTCGTCGAGGCAGCCACGAGCCCGACGTCCCGGACGTCCAAGGCGCTGCGGAATGCCAAAACGCATGGCGAGTTGCTGGGACTTATGCGAACGCTATGGGATGAAGTGAACAAGAAGGATGTGAATGTATCGCGACTGTTTTGCGAGTACGCGTTCGACGACAGCGCGTACCAGAGCTTCGTGGCCACGCTGGATGGACCTGTCGTGGTGGATGGACCCGTGTCGCCGGCCGTGGACGAGCCGCGGACGCCGCCAGCGATTATTAAGAAGGGCAACGGATTTGGCTGGCCACGGAGCAAAACGCCAACCAACAAGGTGCTCCGGAATGCACTGTAATTAGTATATGACCACCACACAAAATCACGATATATATATACATAGTAGTACGCGTATATATAGATATATATCATATATATAGGATGAATGGAAAAAGTAGTAGTAGTACTTGACGAGTTGGTGAGATTTCAGTTGGACAAGGAACACTTATAGGGGCGAGTGTCTTCGTCGTGTAAATGGTTGGTTTCGTAAAGGTTATATTATTAATAATAATAACGTTACTATTATACTGTATATTGTCCTTTTACCTGAAATTTGGTTGACTTTTGTGCTGATTCGACAAATCGTTCGATCCATTCTTTGTACTGACTTTTATACCGGTAATGTAAAAATCGTGCAGTGTCACAGCTGGGTCGATCTTTGATTGTCTGCCGATTCGGTGATTCTGCTCATTCGATTGTGAGCACCCCACTCCAATTTTGAATAGACTTGACAATAAAACTATGACCAGTACTACTTTAGAAAGGTTTGAACGGGGTATGTTTGGTTGAAGGCTGCGACACTGTACAGTAGTATACTGTATGTGCATTCAAAACCTACCAGTAAGGTGATTCATGTAATTCGGCCAGCAAGGGGCCAATCACAATCATCCATGGACTATAATTGAACAAAATTACGTACTGCTGTATCAAATAAGTGTAACATTATTGAGTTTGTCGGATACAGTTTTTATATTAGCCACACTTCTAAATTTAACTATTTTAACACTCTATGTTATTATTAAGAGGTTCTGAGGATTTCGTCACCCAAATCAAGCATACATTATTCAAGTAAGTTTAGATCGGTTTCCAAGGACTCCAAGCCTTGTCCAAGTGCATAAGAACTTAATTATGGGTTGTTCACCAGGGAATTCTCTACCTTTAGGACTACAGTATTTAGAATTCAAAAATTATGAAGGACGTAGATATGCGCATTTTTTTTAATCAAATGAAAGGTGAACTTCATAAATTGGTATTTTACGTTAGGAAATTTTCAATTTTAGAAATTCGACGAGCAAATTGACCATGCGACACACAAATGATGGGACCTGCATAAAGTTATAAAGCTCGACACGATCTTCAAAATGTATGTTTTCGCAGCCTCATCGGATGAATGGGTGACGAGTTATGGCACTCAGAAAGTAGGCCAAGCTGGCCGGGATACATGAATCACCTTACTGTTAACGTAAACTAACATTGTTTGAACCATGAGCCAAAACGTGTTGCGAGCAGGATGCGTATTTTGATCAACGCGACGAAACCAAACTGTGTAATATTGTCTTTTTACCCAAAATTTGGACTTTTGTGCTGATTTGCCATATCTATCGATTGATTCTTTGTACTGACTTTTGTATGTAAAAATGGTCCAATGTCACACTAGTTTCATTCACACACTAATTCGATGTTGAATTGGGCGAACAGTGGATTTGATTGGCTACTTGATTCGTGTTGTGGGTTTTGATTGGTCCATCGATTGTCTGCCGATTGCTGCTCATTCGGAGACCAACCCTCAGACTTCGAATCGACTTGACAATAATACTCATCCAAGTCTCTTCAACTCAGCATCCCAATAGATAACTACAGTAGTACCAGTAGTACCCCAATGATACCTAAATGGTGCCACGCACTGCACCAGTTTGTGTTGTGAGTCGAAACATCAACTCATCATCACCTTTGAAACAGTCGTTACTATATGGACCAATCATGTCACGAGCTGGGCTGTGACGTGGCGTGGTGACACTCGTGAACAATGTACTCGGAGGGGTCAAACTTACGCATACTTCTGTTCCAACTTGTATGACTAGCTAGCTAATACCCATTTCCATAATTGCATCCATGCCGACTCAACTGCAATAACGTTCGCCGCGTTGACCGACCTGGTCCTGCGTCGTAGCGCAGCAGCACCCGTTGTCCATGGCATTCAAATCCTACCCCTGGCATCCACTCAATCCCGTCTGCGCCGTCGTCTGGATCGCAGCTCCAGGGATGGCCTTCCTCACATTCAAGTCCCAATGTACACGGTGGTGTTGCTCACAGTGGTGTGCGTGCTCCTCGTTGTGATGTCGCTGGTATATATACTACTTGGCCTTTCGGAGCCACAAGATGTCGCGGTTCGACGTGATATTCCGCACCAGCAGGACAGAGTTCAATGCTGCCACCTAGCATCGAAACCTCCCATGTACATGTAGAAGGGAATGGCTGTTTATGCTTTTAAGATTCAACACTATCGCCGTTTGATTGGCTATTACTACTTCCTTCGACATTCCATTCCAGCCAATCAGCAACAAGAATGGATTTGGCAAGCGTTTTGATTGGACCAATTACAGCAATAATGATTTGGTTTTTACAAAATTTAACCACCAATCACAGGGCACCAAGTACTTTTCGCAACCCAATCAAACGTCGCCATTTAACGCGCACGAAATCCTCCACCATTTCGAAAACCTCCCGACGTTGCAACAATGGATTTTCTGGTCGGCGCGGCTGCGCTGCTTGCGTTCATCGCGATGCCTCTGTCGCTCCACACTGGTACGGTACATCCTTCCAGCACGTGAAGCCCGTGCTCATGTGTGTTCATGCTGCTCTAGTAAATGAAGGGTATGTGGGTGTGTACTTTCGCGGCGGGGCGTTGCTCTCGGATGTGACGTCGCGTACGTACTCATCCGACACCATGTCCGTGACTGTACTACTGCTTACATGTGGCAACAACCTAGCCGGGTTCAATTGGAAAATGCCGTTTGTAACGTCGTGTTTCCACGTGCAAGTGACTGTTCAAACCGATCACGTCGACAACATTCCTTGCGGGACGAGTGGCGGCGTGCTCATTTCATTCGGTATGATTCATTTTCTGATGTTGTCGCACCAAGCGATGACACCATGTGGTAGACAAGGTGGAAGTCGTGAATCGTCTGCGCACCAAGGACGTGTACGACACGATCAAGAACTACACGGTGCATTACGACAAGACGTGGATTTTCGACAAAATTCACCACGAAATCAATCAATTCTGCAGCAAGCACACGCTTCAGGAAGTGTACATTGACTTGTTTGACACACTGGACGAAAGCCTGGCCAAAGTACGACGCCCCCTCGTCCTCCATGAACAGTCATGTTCCCATCAACATGGACCTTCTAGGCATTGCAGCGCGACTGTAACGAATGGGCACCTGGGATCGAGGTAGGTATTCATTCCCCTTTCGTGTCTATAATGTCATTGACAGATTATTGCCGTGCGCGTGACCAAACCCAAAATCCCCGAGAGCATTCGCCACAATTACGCCGACATGGAACTCCAAAAGACCAAGCTGCTCATCGCCCACGAAACCCAGCGGGTGATTGAGAAAGAGGCCGAAACGGACAAGAAGCGCGCGACGATCGAGGCGGAGAAAGTGTCGGCCGTGAGCAAGATCAACATGCTCAAAGAAATCGCGGAAAAGGTACATTTATAGTATGTATTGTAATTGTATTTTCCGGTTGACATATGGAGGATATATTGTTAATCGTAGGAATCGATCCAAAAGATTCACGCGCTTGAAGATATCATGCATGTCGACCGTGAAAAGGTAGAAATACATTGTATAGCTGTTATACTTGTTTGCGAGAATACTATTTTGGCCAGGCATGGGCGGATGCAGAATACTACAAATCGACTCGGGAAGCTGACGCGAATGCCGCTCGCTTGACGGAAGCATTCCTCGAATACACTCGGATTTTGAGGTACCCACAGTATGATCATATCTATATGATGGAAACCTAATGCATTGAATTGATTGTAGCCTAACCAACAACACCAAGATCTGTACGTTTTGCAATGATCGCATCCCTTCTCTGTTGTATTGATCACTCACATTGGGTTTATTGGTTGACGTGTCATGTGTAGATTTTGGGGAGAAAATTCCGACGATTTTCACCGCCAACAAGGAGTAGTTCAAGTTGTTTTCGTGGGGCGGTATTATTGTACTGGGCCGCAGTATTCATGCGACCCATCCCCACGACAACAGACGCGTCCTTGGTCGCCCATGCATTCCACCGTGAATAGAATAAAAAATCCGGTTGTCCCTTTGACTTGGTAGGGTAATGGGTGTGTGTGACGGCGGCATGGGATCTGAAGCATGGGGGGATGCCTTGAGATGTGTTTTGAACCCTTCAAACGTCGAGGGAGAGCCCAAAGGACGAGCAATCCCCGTAGTCCCAGTTGCACGCGCTGGAGTAGCACACCATGTCGCAGCGATAATCGCCCAGGAGTTCGGTTTCGCATTGCTTTGCGCATTTCGGAAGGCAATACGAGAGGGCAGCGGAGTTGCAAAAGGGCGTGTCGTCCAGAATGAGTTGACGGGTCGTGAGCAGTTGGGGGTTGAGAGAGGGGGGAAGGGCGGCGATGGGGTTGGAACTCAACTCGAATTGAACTCCTGGCAGTAGCATGACAAAGTCGAGGGGGACGTGGTCAAAGTGATTGGCACTGAGATCGACCGACGTCAGCAACGACGGAGACGTTCCAGTCACGGGATCGATCAACGGCACGTTCGTGAGCTCGTTGCCGCGCAATTCGAGGGACACGAGCTCTTGAAACGTGGCAATAGACGACGGAATCTGGGCCAGGTGGAGGTTGGACAGCGACAGCGACGACACGTTTGCCCATGCGATGAACACTGCGTCTGGAATGGACGTGATGTGCCCCCCTTCGACTCGAAGGTAGACAATGTTCGGGGGCAAGACGGCAAACGCCTGTGGAATGTGCTGGAGGTTGCTGCCCCGGATGTGAAGCACCGTCAAGCTAGGGGGCCACGTCAGTCCGATGGGGTCCAGTGGCCAGTCGGTGATGTTGGTCATGTACAGAAACACGGCAAAGAGCGACTGGAACGGTTGGAGGGCGGCGATGGGGACGCCGTGGGGCAGGTCGCACCGGCGCACGTTTAGCGTAAACAACGAAGTACCAATGTCCCTTGGGTGGATATACTCGTCCACGGTGGTGCCACGTATCCCCCGCAACGCACAGTTGAGTTCAACGTGGACGCAGCTGCAGGTCAAGTCCAACCACGGAGACGTGGCTAACATACAATAGTCGGGGCAGGGGGTGCGGAGGAAGTTGGCGGCGCCCGCACACGCGACGATGGTGATGCCCCAAGCGAGATTGGCGATCAAATACCAAAGCATGTGTCGGCGGTGGCGGAATTGCAGACTAAAACTGTCCAAGGGAAGGGCTGCTGGGGGACCGCAGACGATCGCGGCGGGCGGGGAGTAGCGCGAGGGATAGCGCGTGGACGGGGCCTTGGTGGTGACCGACTGCACGAGGCTCCGGATGGATACACAGCTCAAGCACTGGGACGCGATCTTGCTAAAGAGGTCCGCGGGGGACGACACCATAATGTACCGACCTATGAGGAGGCTCACCGTGACGAACTTGTCGTCGTTTTGAACGTGGCGGTCCAGGATGACCAGCCGAAGCGCTTGGAAAATGAAGAGCGCGATGGGAAACGCCGAGTTGAGCACGAACCCCAGGGCGTTGTTGATCAGCAGCACGAGCGACCGCCGCGCCACTGTATGCTTTGTGAAGAGGAACCACGGCGTCACGAGGCAGTACGCGCTCACGAGCATTGCAAATGACATGGCGTATCGGCGGTCCACTAAAAAGAACGACATGCGCCCGGCTTGGTACGACTGGCTCACGACATCGATCGTGTGAAACAAGGTGAGCTGGGTCGTCGGCGACATGATGGAGTTCAGGAACCGCCCGACTGGGCTGGCGGCGCCGCGACGTTGGAGGCAGCACACTCGACGAACAGTCCACGCCAACCCGTACACGTGCATCAGCGACAGCAGCCCCATGATGGTCCCAACAATGCCGGGGGCGTACGCCTGGACAGATCGTAGGTCTTCTTGATTGGCACTCTTGTACGTGACGCTGATTGAGGCAAAGTACACGGCGGACGTGACGTGTCTTGTGAAGGCCAACACGAGGATTGGGGTTTTGAAGAGCGTGGTCAACTGCGCTGACGTGACACTCGCACGGAGAGACGACCTTTGCAGCCTGCTCATGTCAATAACGCGTCTACTTTTTCGTCCTTTCGTAGCACATGTGGTTTCATGGTGAAACCGTGAATATACTAACATTTATAGTAACGATAATAGAGACCTTTAGAGTACGTCTGGTAACATTTCAAAAATAATATTCCATTTTTTGGCAAAATGGGATAAATCAAAATGTCGTTTTCAAAATGGAGGCAAAAGGTCCATTTTGTAATGTGGCGTTTTGGACCTCTTCAACGAGTAAATCCCACGTGGAATTGTTTATTGGATTTGGGTTAAACCTCTGCAAGCAAGACATCTTTCAATTTTGATCAGATTTGTTGAATTCGGCCCTAAAATGGCGGTCTGAATATTGCAATATTCAGGCAAACTCGGAATTTGACCAAATTCCTGAAATCTTCTTCGATTATGAAGCGGAAATTTGTTCGGAAATTTGAAATTCTACCTTTACCAAAGCTGGAGTTTTTTTTTTCAAATTGCCGCGCGACATGCAGCAAGGACTATCGTTGTTGATGTGCTGACTCCATTTGATTTTTTCAAGCAGCCACCGTTGCGGCTCGACTGTCTCGAGGTGTTGCAAGTGATTTTGTGTGAATGCATGGTATCAAGTTCAGACTAGTACAGTATACCGGTAGGCATCAACGGAGCGGTCGACACAGCATGCTACGAATGTTGCGTGGCGGTTGTAAACAACCAAGCGCATAACGATAGAAAGAAGTACAGGTCGGTTCAATCTATGAAGCTTCCAAATGTCCCTTCTTATAGACAGCAGAGCATGTCCGCGCCATTCGCATGCTGACGAGATTGAGCTTGTGAATGGCGCGGACATGCTACAGTAGTCTATACGTATCGTAGTCGAGAATCACCATCGAACAAACCATGCGTGGCATCTCGGCCGTGAGTATGCTGCTCGAGTTCGTCGGTTATTGCCTGTCGATGCTGTTCCTTCGGCAAGAACACACCAGCGAACAAAGCGTTCGCGCTGGTGTGCTCTTACCGACGGAACACACCACCACCGCCATGGCCACCTGCTGCACGGCATGGAACGCGGTCCATCACAAGGAACTGGAAAACGTACAGCGCAGCCATGAGTACCATCTTGACGTACCCTTGCATGTCCCCAACGCATTCGGCCCTACACCATCGAAGTGCCATCGGCAAAGTCTTCTAGTGATGTGCTCGCACCATTTGTTGTGAAAACCAAGTATGATTGACTACCACTCATATTATCTATATAGCCATTTCAACCCCCGGATTTGACTGACTGCAACATGTCTGCGACACGGTTGCAATTCCATTCCCCCGGCAGTTCCAACCACACAAGGTCGAGCATGTTTGCGATTTCCATCGACACGTCGTCGATCAGGAGATTCGAGAACGACAACGACGTCACGTTGGCCCACACTTGGAAGAATCGGTCCGGAATCGAACGGGTGGGGGGGCTGCTTTTGACGCGGAGGAAGAACAGATCCCGGGGGCGACGGCTAGCGTCTCGGGAAGTTGAGTGAGCAAACTGCCCCGAATCAGAATTGTCGTCACAGACGGAGGCAACCCGCCGTCCCAGCACCGCATCTGGCTAAACGAGATGAAGATGCCAGTTAGCCCTTGATGGCTAGCCAACGACGACGACGGGAGGCCAGATGTGAGGCTACATCGGCGGAACTCGGCAATCAACACGGACGGCCCAAGGAGGTCGCCGCGTAAAAACTCTGTCGCGTTGTCTCCGTCGACGGCAAGCCTGGCGCAATTCACGTCCACGTGGACGCAGTGGCATACAAACCATGGTGAAATCGAAAACACACACGTCGACGGGCACGGAGCCTGGCCGTATGCGGCGGTGATGGCCACAAGCACAAACCCCCACACGATGTTGGAGACGACAAACCCTTGTAGGAACCATCCGCTGTGCCGTCAAACATGAGCAGGTGCATGAAATAGGTGACTCCATGAGTTCAAGCTACTCGTCTCGTGTGATGTCGGGTGCAGGGATGATGTGGGGGCTTTGGGTATGATGTAGTTGATGGCAGGCAGAATGAACACCGTAAGGGGGGAGGCTATGGAGAGGACGAAACCAAGGATGTGTTGAAGAATAGGACGAAGGGCGCGCTTGACGAGCACAAACAACGGCGTGATGAGACATTGAGGCTCACTCGTACAAGATGGACTGGCGGTGGTTCACGAGGTACCTTGACATGCGATATGCTTGGTACGACGCACACCCCATGTCGACGTAGTGGAAGAGCGCGAGCTTGGTTGATGGCTGGAAGTAGGGCGAGGTCTGTTGGATATGAAGGGGGGGCTTAGGGGGCTGGTGGGACGGTTTTTCTTGCGGTACATGAATAGCCAAAAGCCCCATATATATGGAGCAGTGCTAGGCTGGCTTGGATGACTGCGACGAACGAAGGGGCGTACGTCTAGGCTGCTCGAAGGTCAGCACTGGAGGCTGTGACGTAGATGAAGCATGAGATGGCGTAGTACATGGCACATATCAAGTGTTTTGTCCGCTCAAGAAGTATCACTGGCGGTCGAAGGGCCGATCACTGTGGAGTGACAACATGGGACGGCGGCTGGACACAGGTCATCCGCAGACTCTCAAATCCTCTTTTGTTGGCTATTTAAGACCCGTGAAACGGCATGTATGGCGAAGTGGCTGCGCAGGACGCCTGCCAGTCTCGTTTGACTTCACGGTGCGCAGTCGAAGGCAAGGTGCGTTGGACCGTAGTTTACAGGCGTAAATCAATGTTCAAGCAATAGTAATGCAAGCGGCGAAAGTCGTTACAGTACTTGTAAATACCTAACAATAACCCGTCTATCGGCGATACCTTGAATGACCAGCTACGCTTTGGTTGGTCAGACACAAGTCAGATTTTGGAATGGCAAGGATTGGTATTATTGATTCGTTACGTATGAATTGATGATGACTTTCACGAATCAAGTGACAGGTCCCATGCACCGTTAACCAAGCGACGTACTCATTACGATCCTTTGAACAGGTCGTGCTATGTTCAAGCTGAATGCCCGTGGATGTATCGACCTCATGGTGGTCGTGTATGGCAAGGTAGAGAATGACATTTCAACCGTGTGAGCAAACGATTCGGTCAATTCTGTTCCAAAGTTTGCTTCGCCAAGTACCTCAATGGGACACGAGTGGCGTGGCGTCGACAGCGGGAGAAATCGGCCAGCTGGCTCGTGCCTGGCCAGATGAACACTTGCCAGCCAACGAGGCAAGGAATGGACGGTCGTGGTATTGAATCGCCATTCGATTCGTCAAGTGCTGGCGGCTCGTCGTGCAGTGACGTCATCATTTCGACGCCCTTCGTCCGCGACTCGAGTCGTTGAAGTCACATGCCCGACGTCGGTACCAGGTAAACCCGTCCAACGCCCAGCAGCGAGTCAAAAGCGGTTCCCGTCTCAAATCTTCCAGGCCACCGCCACGTCGACGAACTCTCTTGCTCGAGATGAGGCTGATGATCCAACGGGTCCCGTGACGCGTTCAACTCCAGCAAAACGGCTTTGTCCTCCAACGACACTTGTTTCCGTGGCCGTTGACGATTGGCAGTTTGCCGAGCCTTCTACAGCCAAACCAGTCGTTCGACGACCGACGGCAACGGACGCCGAGACTACGACGACGACCGCGAGCTCCCTGCGCCACCTCCACGAGTGGCCGGACGGGTCCACGCATCGGTTGCCAAAGAACTTTCAATTCCCAAAACTGTCTTGCGATGACTTGTGGGAACGGTGGCTCCGTGGTTGGCCCGAAATGAGCATTGGACCGTACCGGCATCTGACTCTAGACGACGCGTGTGGTATGAAGAACCACGAGAGCCTCAAGCGGGCGCAGCACGTCATGACCATGTTGACGGACGCGGCCGTGTCGGCTGGTTTGGTGGTGTCCTCCGCCTCTCTAGCGCTCCTCCGTACATCCGAACTGCAATCTGTCTTTGCCGCACCGTTCTGGAAGCTACCGTTGGCATGAGGAAAGCCCCAACTCGGAGCAACTTTCGCATCGTGTTCATGGAACTGCAAGACCCGGCACGGCCGCGGACATTTGCGTGGCAAGACGGGAGTTCTCGCCGGTCACCCGAACACTGGAAGGTTCCCAACTTGAATTGCAGGAGCATTTGGCTTTGTTGGTTCATGGACGACTCGGACCTCGGCATTTGCCCGTTCCGATTCCTCACACCTGTTGACGTGACCAACTGGAGATGCCTCGCCAAGTACAGACACGTCTTGACCACCCTCGTGCAGATTGCTATCGACAGGCAGTTGGCGCCATCGGAAGCCGCCATCGCCACGTTGTCGCGGCCGCAGCTCAAGGCGCTATTTGTGCCGTCGTTTCGTGTGCTGAAACTTGGTGTTCCAATGGAAGTTATGTCTGAGATGGACACGAATAGCATTGCTGCCGTCCACAAGGTGTTGACTTCCACCGACGCATTGCATCCATGAGACAACGTTGAACTAGTTCTACTAGTAGTAGTATGTACAAAGTACAAATGTCGAGTGTCTTGTTTCATTATTCGTGTGGACATTGTACACTGCGCCACGACGATCTGTGGCTTCAGTTCTTTCAATAGAGTAGACAGACTACTGTTGAGTAAGTATTTACAAACTACCACTGCATGCCATGATGGACGGACATTTCACAAATGTGCAGGCTACAGTATCACCTCAAATGTTGCCAATTGAAATTATCCGAGTTTTTTATCCGGTTAATTCGACAGGCGATTGGTCGACAAGCCATTGGTGGTGCGCCAATAATAACTCGCCGTCATGTTAGCTTCCGATGGCGGACACGGAACCCAAGATGAATGCCAAGGAACGGCGAAAGTTGCGCCGCGCGGCTGAAGCCCCAGCCACACCCGCTGTGGTGGACGTCCCAGTGAAGAAGGATGAAGTGGTGGTTGCACCTGTAGCGAAGGTGAAGGCAGAGATTGTTGTCCCTGTCAAGAAGCAGGTCAAAGCGGAGAGCTCGGCAGCTCCTATCAAAGCGAAGTCACAACCGGCACCAAGCGCAACGGCGCCCTTGGTTGCTGACGTCAAACCTGTCAAATCCAAGACAGAAACCAAACAACCGCCCAAGCCTGTCGAAGAAGACTTTATCCGGCTGCCATCCGTCGCCAGCACAACCTCCAGCACTACTACGCCTGACGAATCCACTGCTGCAAACTCCAAAGCTCGACGACTCGCCGCCCGAGCTGCCAAGCGAGAACGAACCGACGACGCGACGGGCACCGCGGACGACGCCGCCATCCCCGCCAGCACCGCCAAGGCCCGTCGGTTGGAGAAGCGTGGCGCCTCTCGCTCTGCCAATGACGCATCTACGCCGACGAAAAAAGTTGCCAAGCGCAAACTCAAGGACCCAAATGCCAAGAGCATCCACTTGACGCTGTTCCTGGGGCAGCTTCCGTACGACGCAACCGAGGACATGATACGCAAGCATTTCCACGAGGCCGGCGACATCAAGATCCGCATGCTCACGGACAAAACCACCAAGAAGTTCAAGGGCACGGCGTTCATTGAGGTTGCGGACAGCGCGGCACTCGGCGCGGCCCTCAGCAGACACCACAGTCTGATCAACAACCGCCGCATCAATGTCGAATTGACCGCGAACGGCGGCGGCACCAAGTCGGAACTGCGTCAGACGCGGATCAAGGACCTGCGCGACAAGCAAAAGGTCAAGCAAGTCGAGAAGGTATTGTCTTTCTTTTACCCAAATTTGAACGTATGTGTTGATTCGCTACATCTATTGATCGATTCTATGTCGTGACTTTTGTATTCAAAGATCGTCCAGTGTCACACTAATTTCATTCATACACTATTTCTCGATGTTGATTCGTCGAAGAGTGGGTTTGATTGGCCACTTGATTAGTGTTCTGGGTTTTGATTGGTTTTGACTACTTTTGTGCTGAATTAACGCCTAAAGTACCTATCGATCGATTTGTTGTACTGAATTTTGATTGCCAAAAGGTGTCCTGTGGTGCTTGCTGTCACACTAATTCAAGTCACACATTGGTTGTTTCCTGCAATTTGATTGGCTCAATTATTCTGCGATTCTTCTTCTGTACATTTGGTTGCTCCAGTTTTTTAAGAATAAACACAAAACTATCTATTGTCGGGGGTGCAATCGAATCGCGCCGACCAAACCGATCCACAATCGATCTGATTGGTTGAATTTCATTGAGAAATGGGTTTTGATTGGCTAATAATTTTTAAATTCCAACGAGAAAACACGCCACAACACGAAATTTCATTACAATATGAACTTATATGAGGTCTAGGTGCAAGCGTTGCTGCAAAAGCACGTGGATGACCCGGCATGCAAACTGGTACAGGAAGACGTCGACGAGCGCATGACCGACTTCCTCTCATGGTTCGACTATGACACGGCCAAGCTCGCGCTCGACGACTTCAATCGCTGCGTCGGCGACAAAGTTTTGTACGTTCTTGGCCTATTGTATTATGTTTACTCGATAAGTGGTAGATTGTGGGCGAATATAGCATTCATTTTAGCCAATCCGTATTGCAACCTGCATTCTTTTCAGCCAATCATACAACTTTGTTCGATTTCACCAATTTCCGCTAAACAATTGGCAAATATGGGCGAAAAGCTCTGGCACAATCTCTAAACAGTGGACAAAAACAGAATATGTTCTTTATTTTATGACTATTTTCTCTGCGTTTTAAAACCTGAAAAATATCTGTGTATTTTGAACGACCAACTGAAACGTCATCTCATTGGCTATATATTTGGGCGTAGGAATCGACGGGCGTTCTTCATGGGGATCCTCAAGCGATTCCGCACCACGGACGGCGTCGAAGACGAACGACCGCCGAAACGATCCGACTCGAAGCCCCAGGGAGGTCGGGGACGTGGTGACTTTGGCGGACGGGGCGGCGGCGGATTTGGAGGCCGAGGGGGTCGCGGCGGTGGCGGGTTCGGCGGCCGGGGAGGAGGTGGCCGTGGAGGCGGCGGGTTCGGCGGGCGTGGCGGACGAGGAGGATTTGGCGGACGAGGAGGAGACCGCGATGGTTCCCGTCCGCCGTTCAAGCGCACCCGACGAGACTAATCACGTTTATAATAGGAACTACACTACCATAATAAATCAGTTAGCCGTCATATAGTATTGGTGACTATAGTTTGACACGATAGGGTTGGCAGTACTACTAGTACGTAAATTTAGTAGTACTACATTACCGATATGAATCGCAGGATATGGGGAGTTGACTCCATGTCTAGTTACTAGTAAACAGTATTGATTGGCCTCTGATAATGACACAGCCGACAACAACTCTCTCCGCCTTGGTCAACACCAGGGGTGGTGAAAAATATAGTATTAAAATTAATTTTAGCTTGTCAATATATAATTTCAATATAGCGTCGTTCGGAAGCACAAGTCATAATGTTATTGAAATTTGAACAACCGAAAAATTCAATATTATTTCTGACTCGGTACAATTATTGTCGATATTTTCGATAATTCTGACCTAAACGATGGTAACAAGCCAAGGCTTTGGCGCGTTGCATGTCGGTTTCACGATCAGGCGGTGGTGGATGGGCCCTGGGTTCAATTCCTGGGATGCGCCAAGTTTTTCCTGAAAATATTAATATTCAAACTCATCAAACTCGTCACCCCCTTCAACCTCTTCGTCCGGACTTGTGCCGTCAGCACGGTGGCGAAGAAATTTCGGTGCGCAGAGTTCACGTGTTTGGCAAGGTTTTGTTTGGTAGCCAGTCGACTTCCTGATGGTGATGACGGTGGATGTCGCGCACCGGCGACACTTGAACCGAGTTACAATTAAGTGAACAAGAGGTCAATTTGTAAGTGAACAAGAGGTCTCTTGTTCAGTGACGAAGTTTCAAGTCAGAACGTGGAATGCAGTGCTTGCCAGTTTTGGGGTCGCGGACGAAGAAGAGTTTGGGTTTGGGGAGTACGAAGTATAAGGGCGCTTTACCGACCAAACCCATCCACAATCGATCTGATTGGTTGAATTTCATTTAGAAGGTTTTGATTGGTTAATAATTTTGAGCTCATCTGAAGTAGCCAATCAAATCGATTTAAATTCCAACGAGAAATACTTTGGAAGTATTCTTCCTTGGACCAAGTTTATGAAACTCGTGCTGCAACCATTGAATTAACTAGGGTGTGACTTATTTTAATCCGAATTATGTACTAATTATTACTGTTCGTAGTAAAATGCAGTAAAACAACTACCTATATCCAAATAGTTTGGCTACGTTTCTGGCTTATCGGATACTCGTTGCTTTGAGAATCCACGAGTTTGTGAGCTAGTTGCCTAGCAACACTGCCGCGTCAGTCAACATACAAGATGACTTTCGAGGGTGATTCAATCGCGAAACTGGGGAGTCTTCTTGGACGTCATGGCCGTAAACGCTTCGACGAGGTCTTCGCTCTGCAACATGGCGGCATTCCAGTGCTCCACTTGCCGCAACGAGTCGTCGGTCGTGTGGTCGCGGCGGTACTGGATCGTCTTCTTGATGCCGCGGATGGTCACAGGGCTCTTGGACGCGATAGATGCCGCCACGGACGCCGCGTGGGCGAAGAGGGCCGAGGAATCCACATGTGCTTCCAGCACCAACCTGCCACACCATTGCAACGATGAGGGTATATACGTGGGAGCGAGGAAGCCGGCGGCGATTTACCCGATGCGCTCGGCTTCGGTACCAAAGAACGATCGACCGGTGTACGACAACTCCTTGGCTCGCTGCTCCCCGACGAGCAAGGGAAGGCGCTGCAACGTCCCGACGTCTGCGACGATGGCCAAGTCGATTTCCTTCACGGAAAAGTCGGCGCTGATGTCGCACACCCGCAAATCGCACGCCGTGATGAAATCCACCGCGCCTAGTACAGTCCAATCAACATGAATGTATACATATATTTGTATGGCAGTAGACGGCAACATGATGAGCGTGTACCTCCCCAGCAAATGCCGTGTACAGCGGCAATGACCGGCACGCGACTTCGCTCGGGGGCCGACACAATGTGCTGAAAACGGCGAATGAGTTGCATGAGTCGTTCTCGCTTTTTCGCATCGCAAGGAATAGTTCCCATGATCTCTTGCATCGCAGCAAACACTTGCAAGTCCATGCCGGACGAAAACCCGCGCCCTTCACCTCGAATCACCACCGCGCGGACCGACGGGGTTGCCTCCACTTGCTGGAAAAACGACTCGAGTTCGTTCCACATCTGCATGTTGAACGCATTGAGCTTCGTGGGTCGATTCAAACGTAGGTTCACAATCGACGGGTCGCTGTCGGCAAGGTCGTCCGCCAGGGAAGGGGTAATGGTCAACGTGTCGTAACGAGTCTCATGGAGAGGCGTCGCCACATGCGGTTGGATCCAGCTCTGAATGAGCGCCTTGTCACTCCTATGCCGTACTTGCACACATGGACGCACTACTCGTTGCATGGAGCGATGGATCATCGCGGAAGATCTGGGAATAAAATGCTGTTTCATCAACATATTATGAATGTTATCCGGATCCGAATAGGACTTCAACTCCAAATCACACTATATTATCCTTCTAACACTATTATCAAAATTGTCAATCTTTTGGATCTTTAATGCTGTGGAAACTATGACTCGCATGCATCAACTTACCAGTTCCCCCCGACAAGTAGTGAATCAAAGCGCGTCCGCATCCAGAAGTAGTTCCACCTCCATCCCACCCACCAAGCCCTCGTTGAGAATGCACATGTGCATGTGCCTCAAGTCATTGACGATTCCTTGCAGCACCTTGTGCTTCCTTTGCATGCGGCCTGCAGCTCAACCTGGCGGTTCGTTGCATTGACCAATTCATGTTCGGCAGTAGGTAGATGCATTCTGCCTGCAGCCATATTCTCATTCCACTGTATTGTTCCCCTACACAACATCAAGGAACTCAACCAACCGCACGGCGGTCCACGTGTGCGTCGCGGTCACATCGGCATCCCACGAGCACTCAGACAACCCACATCGTCCCCATTGCGCGCCGGTACAAACCGACACCATGCCAGCCATGGAGAGCCTTCCGCACATCCAGACCACCGACATGCAACTTGCAACCCAGACTGACAGTGTATTTACGTTGGCCAGCACCGTTTTTTTTTTCTTTCTTGGGTGCAGGCTACTTGCACCCTATTTACAGGGTGCAAGTATTACTAGTCAGTCCCACACTATATTTAACATCTCTTCGGCTACAACGTACTCGTACTAAATTTATATAGCAATTACCGTCGAGTTTGAACTCGATACAACGTTACCCCCCGCCCTCTCCCCCCTTCGATCCCCATCATCTACCAAGCAATACAACTACCGACTACGAAGACGAATATGCTCGTCGTTGTACACGACTTGGCCCTGTGTCGCAGTTGTACATGGACGTAGGGTGGCTCGCCAACGTCGTCGGATCCATCCGTGTGTAGGAGCCGCACATGCACCTGTTGTCGTTTTCGTGGAGCTGCATCTTGAGCCTGACACGGAAGCCACGATTCGATCTTGGCCCCATCTAGCCTTACTTGTCATTGATGTCGTCTTCAGGCTTCGAGTGACTAGTTCGTAATAATAGGTGCACTTTGCCTCGATCGAAGAGATCGCTGCAGCCTACTCCTTGTTTTGTGGTCGTGAGATGCCGACGCATGTATTCGAGTTCAAGCGAACGTAAAAAACATTCAAACCACTAGTGATTGATTCCTCACTGTTACGTCAATTTTCATTGCCAGCTCCCGTACGTCCCCATCGTAGCATCTACGACTAGTTGGGGTATATACTAACTAATCAAAAGCTCTTACTCGATGTGCCATCGTTTGGTGCTGTGGGTAAAATATGCCAACGTCGAGCGTCGAGCTCAGGCGGCCCTTAGATCCCATTCGCTACTACACCTTTGTAACGACGATGTTTATATTGTGTTTTCCAGTGACATTTCGTGGTTTCTCGTTAGAATTTAAATCGATTTAATTGGCTACTTCAGATGAGCTCAAAATTATTAACCAATCAAAACCTTCTAAATGAAATTCAACCAATCAGATCGAGGTTTGGTCGATGTTCGATTGCACCCCCAAATATTTGTATCAAATCGACAATAGTCGGATGATATTTATTTGCAACGATTATTGACTTGGCTACGAAGTGTTCAATCGAATATCTCCAAATACTTGTCGCTGATTGGCTACATTCTTATTTTTCTTTTTACTTTGTGCTTTCTGCGTATCGGATATACGACCGCGCAGAATGGGGATTTTTTTTTAGCAAATTCATAACATATTAGTACTACTAAGCTTACTTCGCTTATCGACCCATGATAACGTTAGTATTGTGTTTCACCATAGCAACTCCATGATTCTGCTGTCCACACGTTCGACTCCATGACGCATTGTGTGTGGTTTAAATAAATAAATATACTGGCCTACAAATAATTAATAGTACTGTACTGTACATGTTTAAGGACCCGAAGATCTTTTACTTATCCTCTTTTGTTTTGCAAATACAATCGACTTGTATTACTACTACAAAACACACAGTAGGGTATATAACATATATATTTATCTAGGATGGTTTTGGTTACCAGCCTTTCCAGAGTTCGATAAGGCGAACAATTTCAATGGCTGTGGGTCGGTCTCGAGGGTTCGTTGCTAAGCAACGTTCAGCTAAATCCTTGATAAGCTTGGGACACGTGTCATTGAAGGTCGGGCGGAGGCCCATCGTGGTCACGCGCTGGACAATCGTCAAAGCCGGCACGCCTTTCATGTTGGCGTACGGGATGTTGTGCGTGTCTATGTCACATTGCACCGTGAGAATGTATGTCGACATGTTTGAGAATGACGGTATGTGTACCGAGTTCGTTCAAGACACACCCAAACGAGTACACGTCGGCGAGCTCCGAGTACCGATGCCCGCTGAGCACTTCGGGGGCGGTCCAGTAGGTAGTCCCGACGCCCGCGGTCATGGTTTCATCGGTCGTTCGCTCCTTGGAAATGCCAAAGTCGGACAGTTTCGCATCGAGCTGATCCGACACGAGCACGTTCTTGGCTTTGAGGTCTCGGTGGATGATCTTGTTGGGGGTGAGCGCGTGGAGATACGCGAGTGCCCTGGCGATGCCCACGGCTAGCACGAGCTTGTCATCCCATTTGGCCTCTTGATGCGCCGCCAGGTACGACCCGAGGTCGCCGTGCTGCATGTACTCGACCACGCAGCACAAGTTTTGCAGCGTATTCCACGCAAACCCGATAAATGTGACAATGTTAGGGTGACTCAACGATGCCAAGAGACGGATTTCCTCGGCAAAGCACTCGAGCTCCTCGACGTCGTTGCGCTTGGCGTCGAGCACCTTTTTGATCGCAACTGTGACACCGTCCAAGGACCCGACCCACACCTCCCCGAACGCGCCCTTGGACACCATCCGCGTCTGCACGACCGACGAGTACGGCAGCCGCCGCGAACACAGGTACGGATCGATCTGGAAGTTGTTGAGTTTCGACGAGTTGGTCTGGATTGGTTGGTGCTGCGCAGCGCTGGACCTCGGCTGGCCAGAACTGTGGCGGACGTCGCTGGTGTACGGGGCGGCGGTGGCGTGCCCGTCTGTGGCTCGGCGGCGGCGGCGGAGAAGTAGCAAGCACCAGAGGCCACATGCGAGGAACGCGATGGCGCCGGCGACGATGCCGACGATGGCCCCCGTGGCCAACGAAGGGGGCGGCGGAGGGATGGGGGTGGGGCCTGTTGTGGTAACGATGGGGGGGGGTAGGGTCATTTTAGAACGCGCGATGGCCTCTAGCCAGTCGTTCATGCGACTCGATGGACTGGGCAGACACATGCCGCTGCCGGCACCTTCGTACACTTTACAAGGAAGGACGAGAGATCCTAGGATGGAAGGGAATAGGAAATAGGGAAAGATCCTAGAAACATGGCAGGAAAGAGAGGGATCATACCGGGTTGCTTGGTTGGGCAAGTACCCCACGGCCACTCGCCGTCGTACTTTTCAGGCACGGTGTGCACGGCAAAGATGAGGAATGGAGGTCCGTCGGTGCTGTTCCACTGGTGCCGCATGATCACGGGGAACGGCACGTCCGTCGGCGGTAGGCCATCTTGAGCCCACATGCTGGAATGACTGCTCTTGGACGGATTTGTTGGCGCCACGGCGCAATTGGCAGCCACGTCCAAGTTGACGCCGTTCGAAATGTTCTGACGCACATACAAAGCACTGCCGCTGCTGCATTTGATCACCGTCGTGGACTGGTCTGTGGCCAAGAATGCGTCCTTGGAAACCATGAGGTTCTCCATCGTGGCGCCGGCAGGCGTGCTCGTGCCAAGCGAACAACGCGTGTACACCTGCTGCAACGTGGTAGATCCGTCGTTCAACCGCACAAAACCCATGTCCCACAGCAGCGCGCGTTGCGCCAACGACGACAGGTCTTCCCACTTGAGCGTCAGCGCAGTCAGCCGTTCGACGACGGAGGCCGGTGCGGGACTGCGGACGGCGGGGACGGAGGTAAGGTTAGCGGCTTCGAGAAGACGGAAGCGCGACACGTAATCTGTGCTCTCTAGCCACGATGATGGCGATGGTGGGGTCGCCATGATAGTTACGAATGGCGTCAACGCTGAGTGAGTTTTTCGCACCTGGGTGCTTCAACGATCCATGACCGCCGACATGTCTGAACGTAACGTTGTTAACACAAATAATTCCAACGTTTTAAACATCTCATTAGCGTGACTTTACCATGTTTCAAACGTTTTTTTATGTTTGAAACACCGGACTGATTTGCAAACAACGTTGTTTTACAAACGTAAAAAACCAATAGATGGCCCGAAAATCGACCCCTTAGTATTTATACGATTGCTCAACACATAAGACGATTTGGACGAACTTTCAACTGTAGTGTTATAGAGGATTGAACGCGCTACATTATATAAGCAAGCTTTAAAGGATTTGATGTATTCTTCACCACGTTATTTCAGGTCAAAGTCAAAATTGTGAATTTTGTGAGATCAGTTGATGGCCCTAAATTACCCAGTGAATACACTATATGTCGAAACAGTGTTTGGACTGGTAATTTTATTGTCGATATGAAACGTATTCACTAGCGTTTATATGTAATTTAATAAATTTCGCCATGAAAAGTGTTTCGGGCCATTCCCTAACCTACTGGTTTTTTACGTAAGGTGAAACTTTGTCACTTTGTAGAGGCGTGGCCATCGTGATGGCCGCTTTGCCGTGATGGGTTTGTCACAACGACATACGTCGCACATACATGTAGTACAGTAACGTAGTATGATGGAGGGAAGACGACGAGATCGCACCAAGTTAGTTACACACGTGGACAAGCGCGCCACCATTTCTGCATGACATCGTCGTCGCAACCTGCAGCATTTCTGCATGAGATGCTGCAGGTTACGACGACGATGTTGGCGGCGGCGTCGAAGAAAGTTGTCTACGCGGTCGCGGGGTTGAGTCGCGGGACATGGCCAAGACATCAACTGCGCAATGCTACACCTCGATCAGAAGGGCCGAGTTTTCCGAGTTTTTTCTGGAAATGATGTTAATGGTGACCTTTGATTGGCTAGGAGTGGTGGATTTTAGCCAATCCTGTGAATTGTATTTGTTTGTGAAAAGTGGGAAAAGTCGCTCAAGGAAATATCACTCGATGGCGTCGACAACGACTGGTGCAGCGCGCCAACGCCGTCGCGGTGTCAAGGAGCCCAATGACGAAGGCACCGTGTCCGAGCCAGAGTACAATGAACTTCGTCGTCGGTACGACGCAGCATCCAAGACACCTCCTGCTGCCGCCGAGGACGGGTCCGAGTCCGAGTCGGACACGGCGACGACCGACAAGCCGTTCCGCGAGCCGCGATGGAACTTCAACGCCAAGGAGAAGAACGTGACGCTGCTAGTGGACGAAGACAAGGCGAAGAAATGGTCTAGCTTCAAGACGCGGACGCTGTACACGCTGCTCATGGTCGTGGGGTTCCTCGTGATTGTGTTTGGGTTCCACCAAGTCGGGTGTTGCGTGCTCGTGTTCTCCCTCCAAGCGACCATGTACGCCGAGCTGGTAAGTCTCATGTTCAAGCAGCAAGTCGAAAACGAGATGCCCAAGTTTCGCCGGCTGTACTACTACTGGTTCTTTGTATGCGTGTTCTTCGTGTACGGCCGCGCGCTCATGCCGCACTTTGAAGTCCACGAGTTCGACACGCTGTTTGGGCTGTACTTTCTCGAAAAAGGGTTTGTGAACAAGCATCACACGGCCATCTCGTTTGCCCTGTACGTCGGCGGGTTCGTCTCGTTTGTGTTTTCCCTCCGAAAGCGCAAGCATTACAAGTACCAGTTCTCCCAGTACGCGTACTGCCACGTGGCGCTGTTGATCATCGTGGCCCAGTCCACGTTCATGATCTCCAACATGTTTGCCGGTCTCTTCTGGTTCCTTCTCCCGTGCTCGCTCATCATCGTGAACGACGTGTTTGCGTACATTTGCGGCTTCTTCTTTGGCCGGACGCCGCTGATCCCGAAACTGTCGCCCAAAAAGACATGGGAAGGGTTCCTCGGCGCGCTCGTCGTTACGATATTGTGGTCGTTTGGGTTCTCGCGCTTCATGCTGCAGTTTGAAATGATGATGTGTCCCCAAGTGGGCTTCCACTTGGGCGACTTCAAAGGATGTACCCCTACCGACATTTACACGCCGCAAGTGATTGCCCATTTCCCTTTCACCGTGGCGCCGATCCAGTTTCACATGGTGTGCTTTGCCGTGTTCGCGTCGATTGTGGCGCCGTTTGGGGGGTTCTTTGCCTCGGGCTTCAAGCGTGCGTTCAAGATCAAAGGTATATGACTCTTACCACCAATCGTATACGAAAAATGGTGCTCATGTTGTGCTGTGGTAGACTTTGGATCGAGCATTCCCGGGCACGGGGGCGTCGTGGATCGCATGGATTGTCAAGTCATCATGGGCATGTTCACGTATGTGTATTACACGAACTTTATCCAACGGCCCGATCGCATTTCAAGTGCTTTGCGCATGCTCGAACGGTTAACAACGGACGAACAGCTCGTGGTGTTTCAAAGCCTGCAAAATGTGCTCACCGAAGCGGGGGTTCTAACAGGATAATATAGATTGTGTCAATAGAATAATGTGTTTTTTGCGTACCGCAAGATGACGCTTGGAACCTTGGCTACATCAAACGCTCGACTTGACTCTGGAACGCTTTGACATAACTTGTGTCGGAATAGATTTGAGCTGCGTGGCCTTGAAGGCGGCATGTCATTGTGTCGACACTTCCAAATGCTTCCTCGAATGCTTTTACGACTTCGTGCTTTCCCAGTTCATACGCATCAACCACTTTCGCCCGCAGCTCTTTCAGCCTCTCCAATTCGCTCGTGACATTTTCAATCGATTCTCTGAAACTGCACTCGTACGATTCTTGCACGTGCCTACAGAGTAGGGAGGATGATACACTGCATCATGGTTGATTCGTACATCAACTCTTTCTTTTGTTCTTCGAGGCGAGTCGATGTTTGCTCGATGGATTCGTTCAGTTTTTGTGCTTCTGCGATGCAGCTCTTTTTCGACGTCGTGAAGATGCGTTCGATGTCGCTCTGGAATGCTTCGGAATATACTCGAACACAATCGCGCTGACCTTGTTCCTTTTGGCGCACTTTCTAGGTATTGGGGGTATGAGGTGAAGAAGTAGTATTGCATGTTGCTCTACCTTTTCAGACATGCGCATGAACACTTCCTTCATCGCGTTCATCTCTTCCGTCAGCCCCTCCCCTTCCACGACCTTCAACCCAGGATCATTGTCCACGTACTCGTCGCGCTCCCGAATGGTATCCTGCGATTGCGAGACGTCACATGCATCTTCATCTTCGTCGGAGTACTGAGGCGACCACATGTCTTTCGAGCTCGTGAATTGAACACTGCCTACGGAAACCAAAAGATCGCTTTCGAGTTGGCGCGTTTTTTCAAATTTTCTCTACGATTCATTATAGTATACAGTTGACAAGTTAATAATATTGGGTGATTTGATTGGCTAATTGGACATGTGACTTTGGCAATAACGTTATTACTCCTACGTAGTAATACTTCGAAGTACTAATACGTGGTTGCTGTAGTTCCAACGGCACTAGTACATCATACTAGTAATACTAGGCCAACAAGACATTCCCCTTGCTGAGTTATGCATCACTGGTAAAGCTCTGCCGCTGCATTATGTAGGCAGTGTCACAGTACTGTAGATGTACGGCCACGTACATGTTCGATGACAAATTGACAACACACACTCCAAGTACGAGTACCAGTAATACGGTATTCGGTTGTAACGTAATCCAAAAAATACACGTTAAACCTACGTTTAATCTACGCTAAATGCTAAAGACTCATCATGTACTCATCAACCTCCAATACCAAATTATTCGCACGTTTTAATATGCTGACGGTTAATACTTTTTCATCGATTGATTGCGGCACACCACCATCCTCCCAATCCATCGACGATGGCGGAGTCGGTTGCCAAGCAGGCCGGCATGGAGGGTAACTTGCAGCGTCATGTTGCCCCAACCAGCAGCTTGAACCTCATGAAACTTCGCACGTTCGTCATCACATTCACGACGTACGCGACTTTCCACGTCGCGCGTAAGTCGTTTAGTTCGATCAAGGGCGAGCTGAGCAGGGAGCTGTGGATGGTTTCGTCCTTGACGAGTCAGTCCAACATGTATGGTCTCATGGACATGGTGTTCCTGGGGTTCTACGCTGTCGGGTTGTACGTGAGCGGCATGCTGGGCGATCGATTGGACCTTCGCAAGTTCCTCGCCGGTGGGATGGTGGGTGTCGCGCTCGTGCTCGTTGCGTTTGGTGTGGCGGGCCTAGCGAACATCCACTTCTTTTGGTTTTACTTGGTGCTGTGGGGCATCAACGGCGCCGTGCAGTCAGTGGGATGGCCGGCGAACGTGGCGATCATGTACGTTGTACGTATCACATTTCCCACTTTGACACTTCGTCCTCCATAAGGTCCCGTTGGTTTGGCCAAGGCGAGCGCGGCTTGGTGCTGGGACTATGGAGCAGTTGCTCTTCGTTTGGCAACATATGTGGCGGGGCCTTAGTCAGTATATTGTACGGACTCGCCGACCCTACCCTGGCGTGGAAGCTGGTCATGTTAGCATCTGGCTCGTTCATGTTGATGCAGTCTGCCATCGTGTACGCGTTTCTCGTACCTGTTCCCCCCAAGCCTCATCTCCACGACGACACCGACGTCCAAGAAGCGTCGTCCAAGGCCGCCATCGACGAAGATGACATGTGTGCGCCGGCAGGCATTTCGTTTTCTAGAGCATGGATGATCCCTGGCGTGGCGTCGTACGCTGTCGCATACGCCTGTGTCAAGTCTGTGTCATATTCGCTCTTCTTTTGGGTCCCATATTACCTCACGGCGGCGCGGCACATGGACAACGCCAAAGCGAATTTGTTTTCCGTACAATCTCGTGATGACACGTTATCATGATTCTACATACATTCTGTAGATCCTGTACGACGTCGGCGCCCTCGTCGGGTCTGTGGTCGGGGGCTACGTTACGGATCGAATGGGCGGCCGGCGATCTCTATACATTGTATCGTCGCTTTGTCTAGCTGGGTACATACACTACAGTTGCAATTCATGTCCAGCACGTTGCTACTGTATCCCATATCATCGATGCATATGATGTGCTTAGACTGGACATGCAGTTCCTGTTTGGCGCGACCGAGCACATGACGGGCATCCTGCTCTTCTTGACGGGGATTCTCATGGGCGGCCCAGAGATGCTCATCACGACCACCATCTCGGCGGACCTGGGCACGCATGCGTCGCTGGCCAAGAACGCGCAAGCGCTGGCGACAGTCACCGGCATCATCGACGGCACCGGCAGCATCGGCGCCGCCCTGGCGCAGTATGTGGTCGGGCGGATCGCCAACTGCCACTCAGTCTGCGAAGATACCGCCTTGACAGACCTGACTCCTCGGGTGTGTCCCACTACATGTGCGTGGGACTCTGTGTTCTTCATGCTGCAAGGATGTGTCGTCGTGGGTATGTTGAGTTTGAGTGGGCTGGTCGTGCAAGAGACCCGGGCGGCGTGGCACCTACCAGGGTAAGAAGAGTACTCATTATTGGGTCGAGGAGGCATGGGTGGTTTTACAGGGCGGGTCTGGATGCCACGAAATATGGCATAAAATTGCCGTTTTTCCAAGAAAGTTGGCAAAATCGAAATATTCCTACTATTTTCGAGATTTCGTGCGTCTGGATACAAAACCAACGTTCAATATGCCATAGTTTTGTTGAGATTTGGGTATTTTATGGCTCATAAATAGAATAAACCGATTTGGTCCAACTGTTTTATATCATCGTCACGTTGAAGTCTTGCACTTGAATTGGACATCGAAGACTATTTCTTCCAAAGTTCAACTGACACACACACAACCTTTGTAGGTTCTTCGTTTTGCCTTTTTATTCATGGGATGATTTGACACTTTGGGAAACTTGCCTAAACGGTTTATGGCATCCTTTTATGGGGGGGGTGGCATCCAGACCAGCCAGCGTTAAGAATAATCATAGCCGCGTTAGAATCTTACTAATGGCATCGTAGTACAGTGTGGGAATGATATGGTACAATCAATCTCGAATATATCTCTCCCATTGGTCAAAATATGAAAATTCCTTGTCTCTGATTGGCTACAGTAGTTTCTCGTTTTAGTTTTTGACTACTGTCAGTACCAATCTCGCAAAATCGGGACATTTGTACCGAATTCGTCATTCTTCAAAGAGTAGTTTGTCTGTATTTTAGTATAATACTTCTGTACTTGTCCATCATAATGCTGGATTTTGTCATATAACCCCAATGCAATGTAGTAACAAATTACAACACCGTCCAGTGCTCCAAAGTGACGACGACGATGAAGATGCCAGTCTTTGGCACGAATCCAAGATCTCAGGTCCAGATGTAAGTGATTCATATATGCAAATTCTTTTATATATATATATAGTTAGATGGATTTATGAATATTTGACTTAGACACCTGGCTCCAGTGCAAGTTGTGGTAGCCCCGTGTCGTCAACTACCGCCGACGACACTTCATCCGAGGCAGGCAGCCTGAAACATAGAGTATAGCCAACCATATCGAAACAACCCCTCAGTGTCCTAGTACACTATTTTGCCTAAAGTTGGACGAATGCCCGATGTATTTGGCCGTGCACCCGATATATTTGGTGGTGTAATAATTAGCCATGTGCCCGTTTAATTTGGCACACTGAGGTCGTGTGCCCGTAGCCACGTCCCCAAGCAATTGGCCATCTGCCAAATTAATTGTGTCGTGTGCCCAATGAAAATGGAATAACTCAAATTAAAAATTGAACTCGATATAAACAAATGCAGTCGAAATGAAATACGCAGCATCCTCGTTTTGACATCGCATACCAACTTCCATGTCGTCCGTAAAGTATTCGAGGCGCAGAGCGTATCGATTCAAACGGTTAGCATCGACCCCTATCCAAAAGTGTAAGAAATACAATAATGCTGCAATAGTTAGCGTCGATAACGTGTTCTTCAGCAATACGCTCGAGATATTGTCCTTTCAAGCACTAACTGTAAATGTTATAATTTCGGTAGATTCGACGAATGACGTCAAATCCACCTGAAATCGTCGAGACGTCATTTTACTTGAACTAACAGATATACTTACTGTCACTCCTCTCCAATAATGTTGAACTCTTTGTGAAATGGAGAAGGATTTAGCTAATCAGAACACCGTTAACGTCAAATTAGTGTGGAACTCAATTAGTGTGATACCAATTACTTTTTTACATACAAATTTCAGTACAAAGAATCGATCGATAGATTTGACGATTCAGCACAAAAGTCAACCAAATTTTTTGGGTAAAAGGACAATATTGAATTCGGAAGTCATCTCAACCCATGCATGCCTATGAACGCCGCTAGTCGCTCACATAGGAGTGTCTTGATGTGGGCTGTTTCATCCACGACCACAAATTCTCGATCGGATATATACTACTAGTAGTACTAGTAACATTGTAGAGTAGGTAGGGGCGAATAATGAGCATTTAAAATGTTGGAGGAAAGCATTATGAACTAAAACTTTACTTTATTCCAGTATAAATTTCAACGTTCGCGCGTTTACTCTACCTGCGAATTTCAACCACAAGGTGTTTCCTCCAAAACTGAATTGCACTCCATGAATTATAATTATTCGAGTTATTCCATTTTCATCGGGCAGATGGCCAATTGCTTGGGTACACGGCTTAATACTTCGGGCATTCGTCCAACTTAACTGAGAAAAAATGATGTAGTAATACTACTAACTGTTACTACCTAGTGTACGTATTAAATGCGTTTAACTTCCACGAGCGTGCGCTGGGCAACTTGATGCGCTTCAGGCGTCTCGTGGTGTCCCTTGGGCAAAATCGTGAGCTCTGCGTACGTCCCGCCAGCTTGACCTTTGGACAATTGACCAGGGTTCACACACAACGACTCTTGGACGACCTAGTCGCGTATATATATATATATATATATATCAAAAGTCGGTCGAATAAATCAAGGCGATTGTTGGGAATATATATATATATATATATACCCCACAGAACCGATTGAGTACGGACGGCAGCAGCAACACATCGGGCCGCACGGGCAACTGGAACTGCTCCATGTACTTGAGATCCAACGGCGTATCACCCGTGGACGGAAACAAAGGAAAGTAACTAGCCAATCATCCAATTAAATCCACATAAATATATATATATTTATTTATGTGGATTTAAATATATACCTGTGTTGACGGAGCAGTTGCTCTGTGAGTCGAAAGAGGCGCTGTTGCTGGTTGGGTTGCTGGGTTCGATGAAACTCGGCGCCGCCCAATTCCAGCAAAATGTCAGTCGTCGTAGCCCCAAACACAGTGCCGTTGATTGTGAACGTGCTTGGATTGGACAGCAAATGCACCCTCTATAACGTAAACATGTGGGCAAATGGCTCTAGAAATAAATACCTGGTTACCGAGTGGAAGTCGGGCGAGTCGAGGCCTTCAAATACAACCGTGCGGTCGAACGGAGGCTGTGGGTACACGTACGGATGGTGCACGTCGCGCACGGACGGGATCAGAATCAAGTGGCAGTTGGGCAACGCCGACAGCAACGTGTTGAATTTGGCCACAACTAGGATATATTTTTTTCCCATCATATATATATATATAGAATATGATTATGTACTTTTGAACAAAAACATATCGTCAAAGCCTACGAGGACGTTGTCGACCGCTACGACGCCGTCCTTGGCATGGTTGGCGTCAATAAATGGACCCAACTACGACGTGTCACCAAGTTTAGCCATGTATATATATATATATATATATATATATAGGAATATATATATATATATATACCAGAATCACGACGTCCGGCTTTTGCTTGGCAGCGACTGCGATCAAGTCACTGAGAGGCTGGTACTGCGGGTCGTTGTGAGGTGTGAACGGCCCCGCGGCGGTGAAAATGCGAACTGGCGCCTTGTCGTTGGCGATCGTCACGGCAAACGGCAACGGCTCGGGCTACAAACAACAAGGTCATATCCGTCGCACACGACTACAAATAACAAAAGAGGGACCGTACTTCAATGAACCGTTTGACTTGCATGGGGTGGCGCGAGTCGTTGTAGATGCCTTCGACGGCCACCAACTAGATGTATATATTGTATATGAGGACATTTGAGAAAGGTAGTCGACATTACTTTGCCAGGAAATGCTTCCAATGATGGCACGTGGCTCAAGTCCAGCAGCACCCTCTGGCCACCGCAATACTTGCGGGCGCCTTCCAACTGCACCACACTTGCGTTCAACTTGCCTTCGGGCGCTTCGCACACGATGCGGCCACACACGGTCACATGGGATGGCGATGGGTCGCCCACGGCGCCGCAGTCGATGCCGAGCTGCGCTTCCATGCGCGTTTGAAAGTCCACGAGCAGTTGGTCCAGCGCGATGGCTCTGTCCGACATGGACGTGTACATGAAGTTGTTTGCCGCGCCTGCATACATGAGGATATCGAACGTTAGACTTTGATATTTCGTCGTCGCGATATGATAATGGGATGACTGACATACTCATGTGTGTGTCGGTGTGGATGCATTCGACCTTGACGGCGTCACCGCGGACTCCGTCGACGTTGATTTGGGACTTGAGCGATGTGTTGAACGAGTCGACGACTTCGCCGGCGTTGGCGCGGGACGCATATTCGGCGCTCGGAGGCGACTGGAACGACCTACGGTGATGCACGTCATGCAATGCGATATGTGGACGCACGGACGTACGAAGGTGAAAAGACAGACGCCTTGGCCATCTTGGCGTCAGGGCTCTGGAAACTGGCGGACGCTTGGCGCTTCTTTGGCGTTTCGTGGACGGTCGGGAGGTGAATGCCGTACACTGACGCCAACGGCTCCTTCTTCACCATGGACTTGCCCTTGAGAGTTTCTTTGGTTTCTCGTTTGATAGCGCGTTTGTTGGTCTGGTCAAACAACATGGCTCGGAACCTGCCGAGGCTGTCGATGGTTGCGACTTGGATGGACGCGTTCATGGCAAACACGTCCCATTGCTCAGCCAGGGATTCCGCCGACAGGGCAAACTCCTTGCACAATTCCACGCACGTAGCCACAGCATCTTGCTTGATGTCCAAGCTGTTGTTGGTGAAGGCGGCAGTCACGTCCGCAGCGGTAGGCGTCGACATGGGGAGGGCACGATCTAAATGCCCGCCAAAACCTGACCAATCGCATGGTTGGAATTATTACCCGTGACAATGCATATAGTATTCAATTTCAAGGGAGAGTTACTATTACTAGTACAACAGTACCGTAGTACAGTAGTATAATACTCCTATTAATTGTTATCAATATTTCTAGTATATAATATTTCTTCGAATTATTACCAATATTATAATATAATACAAGTAACGTTAACCGTAAAGATATCAAAATATTATATTTATAATAGTACGGTACCTATACAATGTAATAATGAGTACTACGTAGTACTAAGTAACGTTAGTATATTTTATTACGGTAACGCGTTACAAAATGTGAGTAATTTAAACCAGAAAAATCAATTGGGCATGATATTACAGTAATACAGTGTTCGCTTTGAACCTCCCAACCTTGACAGCATGGCTGACCCTGCGCTGCAAGTGTTTGAATGCGTGCGCAACCTGTGGGCAACACGGTGTCTCTCAACGGTGGCGTCCTTGAAGATCCCCGACTTCCTTCGAGATGGCCCTCGGACGGCCAAGGAGATCGCCGAGCACTTTCATCTGCATGAAGACAGTGTGTTTCGGCTGTTGCGCGCGGTGTCCACCATGGGTTTCCTCGAGCACTCTAATGGAAATGTGTTTGCATTGACCGCGACTGGAGAATGTTTGATCTCCGACGTGCCTGGATCCATGCGTGCGTACTTGGTGACCATGTGTGCCCCAGGACATTGGTTGCCGTGGGGGAACATTGAATCCACCATCGAATCTGGCGTACCAGCCACCGAAATGGTATTGCTCTCGGTCGAATTGACACACTGTATTACAACGCCCATGCAATCTCAAACGTAGGAACTTGGTGCGGATTTGGGCAGCTACTACTCGAAACACCCTGAGGAAGGCCATGCGTTCAACGAAGCCATGCAACATGTCAACCAAATGTCCGCCGGAGTGGCTTTAGATGCGTATCCATTCGAAGATATCGCGACCGATGACATGTGCATTGTCGATGTCGGCGGTGCCCACGGCGACTTCTTGATGGACGTGCTTAACCGACTGAACCGTCCTAGTGTCCGTGGCATCCTTTTCGAGCGCCCAGAAGTTGTCGAGGCTGCGGCTGAGCATGTCAGCCACGAGATTGATTGCATTTCCGGCGACTTCTTTGAATCTGTTCCTCCTGGGGACTTGTACCTTCTCAAGCATGTTTTACACGAATGGAGCGACTCGCATTGTGTGGCAATCCTGCGAAACATTCGTGCCGCCATGGACACGTCGTCCGGCCGCGTCCTTGTCGTGGAAGTGCTGGTGGAAGGAACGGAAGCTCTTGTGGACATGAACATGCTCGTCATGTTCAACGGACGCGAGCGGACCGAAGAAGAGTTCACCGCCCTCTTCCTCCAAGCAAATCTCAAGCTCACCCAAGTCATCCGCACGTCGACCCCATTTGCCGTGTTGGAAGCGTCGGCAGCTTAGCCAGTTTTATAATGTCCAGCTTGTTGGAAATTTAGTATGAAAGAATGTATGGAGTTTCGCGCGCAAACATACATACATTCTCGAGTTGCGATGTTGATGCTGGCCATTTTCAAATTTGACACTGACAGCGGAAACATCATAAAGCGTCGGATGATGCTCCATCGGTACACAGCCATGACACGTCGGGCACGTGTGCGGTTCCACGATAGCATTCTCGTCGCACCTGATCGACTCTAATGAACTCCTCGTGCATGTAAAGCAACAATCATCTCCTTTGGGGTTTGTGCGATTTCGTTCTAACAGATCATACATTCTAGCTCGACGAATCGAGGTACGACGGGACAGCGTCGTTCTTGGCCACAATGAAGTTGCGATACTCTCGAGCAATGAAAAGTTTGGGAATCTGGTCCCGTATTTCGAGGGCGCGTTCGTCATTTCGCAACGAGTCGACGTCCCCTCGCCGTGTGCCGTGCTTCATTCCACGTCCCCACACTTGTGGAGGCATGTACCAGGCTCCGTATGACGATTTCTTTGGTTTTTCAGGTGGTCGAGGCGTCGTTGGTCCACCGCTTGTGGTGGCGCTTGCTCGTTGGTTGGTTTGTGGCAACAGGTGACTCGGGATGTCCGTCGCAATATGCACTCTATCTGTCTTGCGCCATATGATGTGCGGTGTTGTGGGTCTGTCAGAAGTGCCATTTCCACTCTGGTCCGCCTTGAAACACGTCGAGTCTTCATGTGCTTTTTCCAACGACGCTTGCACAGCCGCCTTGGCGGTAGCTTGAGCGGCTGCCATGTCCTCGGGGTTATGGATTGACGAGCGTTGCCTTCGACTCGTGCCTCGCTTCACCAGAGCTTTTGCGGCCGCAATCGCTCCGATAGATAACGGAGCCGTTGCCTTCAATACGCCCAGGTTCGGACCAAATGACGTTGAGAAGCTGTGGACTTGTTGGTGGTCCGCGATGGCCTGCCGAAGCTCGTGATCTTTCGCTTCTCGCAGCGTATTGAGTTCAGTCATGAGCGAGTCGAGCATGTCATCCTTGGCCGCTTCGCCTGTGAGTATGGCCAGCACCCTCGGACTGCCCATGACGTCGTGGCATGCATCGCCTAGCGAGTGATCAGCTTGCAACCGATCGATAAACCCAGCTTCAAAGTTGGACGTCGGCGAAGGTGAAGGGGCTGTGCGCAAGAAGCGCCACTCCACGTCGCAGAATTTCAGGCCCGCCGCGTCGTTCCGCTTCTTTCGCACGGCGCGGGCCTTCATGAAATGGGCTTACGCGATTGGTTGGATTGTGTAACTGTTGGTGGTATTTGCGGACTTGCCTGTCGAAAAAAGTACCATGCTGGGCCGGTGGGGCGATTTTGACAGCGATGTCCTCCTCAATGCCAACTTGGCCCAGGAAGACCATGCCTACCTAGATGTTGGCGGTGGCACCGAGTACGTGCCGCGCCGACATACTGCCGACGAAGTGCCCAAGCCTCGTGATGTGGTGGTGCCTCATCGCGCGACCAAGACCGCCGTCCCTCCTACGAGTACCCTCGCGCCGCCCTCCTTGTCCCGTCAGTCGTTTCATCACGTGAATGCGAAATGCGCCATGTTCGCATGGATGCTAGAGAGCGATTCCCTGCGGCATACCGTTTTCGACGCGCTCACTCCAGTGTGGGAAGCCGCCAAGGTTGCCGCCGGACACAGCACGATCATGTCCCCGCATGTGTTTGATCTCGTGGCCCAAAGACTTGCGAAACGGTACGGAGGCACGGTCCTTCCGCCGCATGGCGTCGTTAAGGAACGTCACATGCATGCCGCAGCGTTTTGTACGATTGTGGCGAGCATGATGGCGCCTGTGGTTACCCACACGACGATTCCAGAATGCCTCTTTGCAGTGCAAAGTCTCGTGGACGAGATCGTAGTAGGTCGTCGCGATGGATCCATCCCAGTATTCCGTCCCATGGACGCCATCGAGCCAGTCCAGTACGCCCCGACGTTGGCACTGCCTCCGCTGTCCAAATCAACGCTCGTGTCAGCCCTGTACATGGAGCCAGGAGTGAACCAGTCGCTGGCATTAGACATCCCACGTTCTTGCTCGTCCAGCGTTCGACAATCAAGTACCCATAGTGGTGGTGGTGGAGTGCGAGAAATGGCAGTCGAAGCAAGAGTACTACTACTACTATTACTACTATTACTATATATATATTTACTAACTACTATGAATGTGATATTCGTCGTTGTGCATTTTGTAGGCCACGCAAGAAGACCAATTGAAACAAAAGCTCCGATTGCGCAAGTACTGGAGTGCCCAAGCCAGCGACACGGCCGCATGCATCCTCCCCGATGAAATCCCACTGTTCCATCGAGAAAGCATGCGATCCCGCGCGAAAGCATCACGTGAGTTTACACATGGACCGCAAGATGACTCGATGCATGTCGATACGACTCGACGACCCCCAACCCGTAGCGACTTGGACGCTGTCGCAGACACCACGCACCGCCATCGGTTGCATAGTGGGCGGTTGCAAGATCCATGCCCCATTATTCCAATGGATGATGTTCAAGACGATTCCAGCGGAGACGACGACAGGTCCATGGCGCTAGTATGTGCCCGATGTGAAGTGAACGAAGCCGTGTTGTGGTGTTCGCAGTGCTACACCATCACATGCATCCTATGTTGGTCCGCCAGTCACAGCACCCCCATCCCAACGACGACCATCCACGACACCGCGGCACTCGGGGGTTGTATACACACACAATCGCTTACCAGTTTGCAGCAGGGGCCGCCGCTTCCGTTACTGCGCACCCCTCGTCCATCGCCACAAGTGACGACGACCGAGGCCATGCGCCACCGCCGTAAAAAACCAAGTTGCTGGACCCCAAAACACGGACAATCCAAGCTCCAAGCTGGCGTCGCGCTTCATGTTGCCAATAGTTTACCGCCCCGCGTGGTGTCGTCGGTGGATCATCCACAGATGGAAGCCGCCACCATCTCCGGCAATATCGATCCGTCCGCCGTTTCTGACGACTCGACCAGCAACACCCGATCGAGTACAATACAAAAGACAAGAACGTACAGCGTGGTCGCCCATCGCCACGTGCTAAGACACCACGCGGTGGACTTAAACGCTACGATGCTGCCCCATCATAACGCCAACCACCAACGCTATCCGATTCCCTAAGTACTTATTTGTTTATTTCGTAGTTAGTAGGTTGCGCTAGTACTAGTACTAGTACTACTCTAAGGATCCGTGGATACGAAACAGTACAAAGTACATGGGAGAAGACGGGTCTGGTACGGGCGTGATCCCATGCAGCACGTGCTGGCTTTGAAGCACCACGATGCGGTCGGGCACTGCAGCCAACGTCGCGTGGTGGTTGGAGGTCGTGTGCAGTTGAATGCCCCCCCCTCCGGACTCTGAGTTTTTATATTCGTGGTCATTCAGGCCAGGATTTGGCATTCCAGAGATGCAGTAGATGCACGTGATGCGGTAGCCATTGTCGTGCTGGGCATCGACTCCACAATCCAATCGCATGGGTTGGCTTTCTCCAGCTTGGAGCGCCACTAATGTCGTCGCGCAAGTCGATTCCGCGCACAGTTGGATGGCGGTGGGATGGTGATCATGTCGTCGGCGTCGCTTGTGGTTGATTTCATGCGGCAACGCGTGCAGTTTCTCGACCAGGTCGGCGAGGGCGGGAAAGTTGTCGGCAAACGACTTGTTCGAGTCGGTCGAAATGTCTAGGAAACGAACGTGGCAGCCGTCCCCACGCACTAATTGGCCTTGTTTATGCATGCGCAGGACGTCCGAGCGCACCAGCGGCACAAAGTCGGCACCCAGAAAGTCGTCTTGAACGCCAAAGAAACGGGGCGCACTGTCGGCACCCAACAACGAAGTCAACGTGGCCTCGTGCAGTTGGTCCCATAGAGCACACGCGGCGTCGGGATCTGCGATACGGGAAGCATCTTGCGCCAGCATCGCATGCTTCTTGGTCGCCACGCGCTGCAGCATTGTCAGCACTTCCCTGCCAAACGCTTCACGCAGGACCTGCATCCATGTTATTGTTAGCGATCGCACATTATCATCAAGGCTTGGACATGAAGTAAGGACGCACTTGAGGGCGAAGGATGGCTTCGGTGGCGGCATCCATGACGTCGCCGACGGTCGCGCCTTTGCGCTTGACGTTGTCGAGCACCGAGTTGGCTTTGGCCTGGATCTTGGGCATAAGGTCGATCATTTCCTGCTCGTACCATGGGTCTTCCAGCAGTTGCTTGAGGGTCCGAGGCATGTGATGATTGCGGATGTCGTCGGCGGTCATGCCGGGGTACATAACTTTGCGAAAATCCGTTTCATTGGTAAGCTTGGCAAACACGCCGTCCAAGCAATCTTGGTTGGCACTTTCCAATCCACGCATGAGACGTCGCCAGACCAATTGCGATTCTTTCGACTCGGACGTGTCGGGGATTACGGATGCTTTGTCCGTGTACACGGCGCCGAGCGGTTGTTGCTTTGGACCTTGCGCTTTGTGCAAGGCTTGGAGGATGCATTGCTTCCGGATCAGCCCCTTGTCCCACGTAGGCACCAACGCCAACGCTTTGTGGATTTCGACCAATGCGTCGCGGAACTTCTTGAGCTGGAACAAGCATGTGGCGCGATTGCCATGCAACACGTGATGTTGATCGAGAGGTGCGTCAACGAGTGCCGACGCGTACTTGGCGAGTGCGTTCTCGTAGTCTTTCTTCTGGAAGTACGAACTGCCTTCGGCTTTGAGAGCTTCCCAAGTTGGCATTCCACGGCGCTGCTGGTTCTGGATGTCAAACGACCCATCCGCAGACACATCCACGACGTCCGTTCCGGTGGCGGCGTCGCTTCCTCGATCCAACATTTCGAAACTTGCTGTTAACTTATCCGGTCCGAACCTGTGAAAACAAATACTTCCATGGAAGTATTTTATTACAAAGGTCTAAACAAATCGACGGAATCAACGTCCAGCTTCAACTTGGACGCGTACACCTGAAGTGACGAGAGCAAGACGTCGGACGGCTCTACGAGCCTCCTCGCTGCGCGCACGACAGCCATGGCGGCATCTAATGGAAGGAAGTGGGTAGCCATGATGTACGCAATACAAACGGCGCCGCTCAGCGAAATCCCCGAGTCACAGTACACAATCATGTATGGACACACTGCTTTTCTCTCACGGAGGCGCTTGACAATCAACGCAAAGTCGATGGTGTGTTCGTCGTCTACCATGAGATCTATCGTGCCGTCGCTTTCGAGGAGCGGGGCCGGCTCCCGCTTTGTGCAGCAGACCAGAGTCCGTCGGAACTTGGGCGGTGATGTCTCGTCCAGCGCCAGCATCGCGTGAAGACTCAGCGCCGAAGTCAGCCACATCCCTGGTACCACTTGCTGCTTGTCAGTGTAGACGGCGACGTCAAAGCGCTCTCGAGTGATGAAGCTGCGAACGCTGGGCAGCAACGAGAGTTTTTCTTCGACCATCACCTCGTGCAAGTCTCGTTGCGCGTCCGCGACAACTTCGTCGGCTGCCTTGTGCACCGCCAAGAGATAAAAGTTTTCAAGATGAAGCTCAAAGGAAGGACACCGGAGGTCAAATGGAGCTCCATGTGGGGATGCATCATCCCCACCGAGGCTCATTCCTCGTTTCTGCATGTACGCGGCATGGAGAGCGACAAAGTATCGCAACGCCCGCGTTTGGGTCGCCGTGAAAGATTGCATTATTGGGAAAACAGGCGACTGTTCATTGGTGTATGTATTTCATCCAATCAAACATTTCCAAACTGAATCCTTCGATTGGGATTGGTGGAATATTTACTTCTTCCCGACAGTATTAAATCATCGCACCCACAACATCATGCTCCAACATCAGTTCCAGGTTGAGTTGCAGGCGCTGGAAGCATCGCAGAAAGCGGCGCGCCAGGCGGCTCATGTGAAGATACAGACTGCGTTTGAAGCGATGGACGGGTCGTTGGGGCAACACGTGGACGGCGCCATGGACCACATCATTGCGACCCAGCAAGCCATCCAAGATGCATGCATTCAACTCGGCAAGGTCCAAGTCCAACGGCATCAAAAGGTGGTGCGATGGAAGGCCGAGTTGAGACGATTCCAGGCACAAGTAGACGACTTGAAGCTGTTTGAACAATGGTGTGAACGCACCGAAGCGAACTTGCATCTCGTATGCGGGAAGCTCGAGTACGTGTGCCACGAACTCAACCGCCTGGACGACGACACTTCTACATCGTAGGTGTCGTCCCACCATCCCTCTCATGCTGCCACCCTGCTCCATACTGGTTGCATCCTCGCTGTATACTCCATTCGTTTCTATGAGCTTTATCATGTTACATTCGAATATTCCGCGCAAGTTCGCGAATCACGTTTTGCTCTGTCCATTTGCACACCACGAGCAGGTCTTCGGTCGTCGGGTCGTACTGTAGCTCCTACATTTCTATGCTTAAACTTGACATATCCATCAGTCAGTACACATATACCATCGGAGCCACGGCCACTAAGTGCAACCCCGGCCGCTCTTCGTACATCAACTGTTTGCCAAACACCTACAGTTCTGTCAGAATACGAGATTGTTTCATCGATACCAGGATTTAGCCAATCAGATTGCAGGAAACCATTGTCAACATCCAAATAGTGTGAGACCTACTGTAGACTATTAATAGTGTGATTAGATTCACTACAGGACAACGGTTTACATACAATGCAGGAAACCATTGTCAACATCCAATTAGTGTGAGACTTACGGTAGACTATTAATAGTGTGATTAGACTCACTACAGGCGTCGAATCGAATCTCGCCACTGAATCGAATCACGAATCGACGCTATTGGCTAATCCAAATTTGAGTGGATTTGATTGGCTCTTGCAGAAAGGACAAGTATATTCAACCAATCAGAACTCCTCAATATTGATTCGACACACCAGGCGAATTTTGCAAGTTTATAGCGAATTCACAATACTCAGTATACAAAGAATCGATCGAGAGATAAATGAGGCGAATATTAGCACAAAAGTCAGCCAACTGTTGGGTAAAACTAGACAGATTTGTCAAAGTGTTTTTTCTGACCTCGGACATGGAACTGTCGGTCAACGTCACGTGCACCGCACTTAGCAGTGGAAACCCTAGGGAATCCGCGGCCATGTGTACGTTGAACAGCCGATGGACCGCTACCCGCCGCACCAACTCGAGCTGAATCTTGACATGGGAAGGGATAACGGTGGCAGTTCCGGCTATGCCAAATGCATTCGTGCGCAGACTGGACTGCGCTCTCATCTGCGACATCGTTTTCAGCTCCGTCGTAATCGTCTCCACGAGCAGTTGGTGCAGGTTTGCCTTGTACTTGTCTACAGCGACGACACCCACAGTCATTCCGCCATCCCAAAATACCCTACCTGCGAGCTTGAATTCCACTTGCGCATGCGCTTTCCTCGTCTCTTTGCGCTTCTTGTCTAGTTCTTCAAACTGCCCGACCTGGCGCGTCAACGCTTCCAGCTGCGTCTTCATGTCCATGGTCACATCCGTGTCGAACACGGCGCGGCTGTCCAATCTAGCTTGCGCCTTGGCAGTGGCCAGCGCTGTCTGCAGCTGCGTGTTGTCTTGCACGAGCGCGGCAATGCGGCGGTCGCACTCGGCTTTGAACTGGACCTTGCCTTCGTCGGCGGAAATGACCAAGTGTTGCACCCGCTTCCGCAACATAGCGTTTTTTTCTCCGAGTTTGGCCTTGTCCGCGGTGGCTGCTTGGAGTTCCTTGGTCAGCACGTCTAGTTGTTTCTTGAGCGCCGCCGACTCGGCTTGAAGGGACGCCGTGGATGTCATGGTGGACCATGATTTCGATGAAGGCGGCGTGGTCTTGGCCTTTTTGGCCGACGGGGCCGCCGCGGACGACGGATCTCTGAAGACGGCCCTTTGCATCAAGGATGAAGGGGGTTGCAGCGTTGAATGATATATCGGGGATGTCGTGGGCACCGCCACCGACGGCCGGAAGATCGATATGTGCAATGGCTTCCCAGGCAACACGGCTTGAAGGATCTGGATGATCGACGACATGTGCATGCTGCTCACGTCCGTGTCGTCCAACCTGAGGAGGACATCGCCGACCCGCAAGCCGGCTTTGGCGGCGCTCGAGTCGGGTTGCAGGGTCGACACTTGAATCCCGCAAACCCCTTTGACCGGTAACACGCCAAAGCCCAGCAGACCGCTCTCCTTGGTCACGATGACCTTCACGTACGGAGACGAAGTCGTAGGCTTGCTTTTAAGATCGGATGGTGGGGATGACGAGTTGTCTTGCGTCATGGGTGATGGGGTAAATTCGGCTGTGCCGGGAGCTACGTCAATGGGGTTGCCTGGGACTGGCACCAAACTGGCTGACGGAGAAGCGTCTGATGCATCAACGGACGCTACATTGGATTCCTCTAACGTCCGTTCGACGTTGGTTGGGAGTACCATTTCTGTTGGCTGCGGAGTGGTAGCTGAACCTGCGGACGAACTGGGGTCTTGCTTGATGAGGTTTTGTTCATCTCCATTGCTGGCACTTCCGTTATCACCGATGGGCGCTTCCTTCGAGATGCCATTCATGTACTCGATGGCGTCTAATGCATCCACAAGCATGGCATCGTCCAGCATCGCGTCGTCGTGGAATGGCGCATTCATTTGAATCCCGCAGGGCAGAGGAATTTGTGTTTGGTTCATGGAATTCCCGCCAAATTATCCGGAATTTCTTTATCCGGATTCCCGCATCCAAATCGAAAAGGCGCGCAGTGTGCTGTATCATGCAAGCGTGGCGGAAATGACGGATGAAGCAACCCTCGGAAAGGGAAATGAAGCTGTACATGTGAAGAAATACCGTACATCGAGGAAGGCGAGCGGGAGCCACCGCAGTCCATCGCAAAGGCAACCTAATGGGCGTCGTGGAAACCAGATCATCCTGCGTCAACACCCCGGTCTGCCTCGTCCGCTACAAGTTGCGAAACCGAGCGGATCGTTCAAGTGGATGGAACAGCTACCTCGGAAAGTGTGTGTGGCGCGAAAGAGTCCTGCACATGTGCTTCTGCGATGTAGGCAACTCATCGACCAAGATCGAAAGCAACCCATGGAATTCGCAGGAACTGAAGTCGATGCGTTGAGGTATCGCTTGCGGGTGCGCATGGAGACGATGTGGGAAGAGTTGAAAATCCCACATATCGATCGAGATACATTTATCTCCGTGCACGGCGGCTGTCTCGCGAGCATGGCGCGCCAGGTCCAGCTACTCACAGTCCACCATCAATGCACTTTGCGGGTCTTGCATTGCATTCAAGCCCGTGAAGACCTGCTTCTGCACACAACGAACGAAATCCGAGTGAACGACGTATGGCTGCAGTCCATGATTCAAGCGTCGGTCGCGGTGGTGGAAGCGGTCGAGATGTGGCGCGACACGATGTGGTATCCCCACGCGTTTCGATCAACGCATGCTCCAAATTACTTGATCAAAATGACCACCGACTGTTCTTTGCTCTTGAAACACCAAGTGCCCAGTTGCCCCGTATTGCATCCCCTAGATCCGCCCCATCGCGGCACCGTCCACGTCGGTCACGTCCGCGTGATGGCCCCTACCGGTCGCCAATGGCGCGGCGCTCGAATCCTCAAAGACGAAGGCGATACCCATGCCCAAGTCGTCACGATGCATGGTCAGTGGGCCACCTTGAACCAATTCGTACCGCTGTTGAAGTGGAATACCACGCCGAACGACGGCACATCCATCGCACCCGTGAAGAAGGCTCGGACAATCGACGACACGGCTCCATGCTTTGTCTATCAATCGTGGACACATTGTGTGCACTTGACGACTGTGGTGGCGATAGCGACTCTGCAGCGTCGGTGGCGGCATGCTCAGTCCGCCACTGGTGGTATTCAAAGGCGACGCACTGGGCTTCACAAACGGCTACTCTTAACGACGCCACGGCGACTCTTGCATGTCGTCATTGGGTGTACCAGGCACCGATACATGTCGTTGGACGACGTGGTCGTCGTGCCACACAAATTACTACGCTGTGAAATTCACGCAGACGACAATCGTAACGCCAAGCCCGATGCGATTGCTCTTGTTTGGACGAGCAAGTTGCTGACCAACGACGCGGCCGCGCGACGTATTTGCACTGCGTGGAGAGCCCACCGGCGACGCCATGTCATCGACACGGAAAAACTTCGCGCGTATCGCCACATGTGGCAGAGTTTGCGATGGGATCGTAAACCCGTAGACATGGACAGCCACGACGACGATGATGGCTGCCCACCGTACATACTTGCCACGTCACCTAGTGTTAGAAATCGCCAGATTCGTAGCCCCCGACAGGCAGATCCACGGACGAAAAGTGCTATCACGACGTCATTAGGTCCACCACACAAACAAGCAAGCCAAGCCAAGATCCACAGCAACAACGACAAGTGTGTAGTACACGAAGCTGCTGCCAAAACCATTCAACGCTGGTGGCAACAAGTGAATCGGGACTTTCCACTCAGGACAGTAAGCTCAACGCATCGAGTTGTGCACACAAGACGCCTCCAAGGTCCACCCAAGCAAGGCCCGTTGAAACAGCAAACCATAAGCCCCCTGAAACGAGTACTATCACGATTCCATGTGTGGTGGAACCGATTTCGTCATGCTAGCGACCATGGCCGCAGCAGTAACGACCGCCGCGTCCTTGGCGCCGTCGTGACCATCCAGCAGCTATGGAGGGCCTACCGACGAACAACGAAGCATGCGACGACGTTTCGAGCTTTGCAGCTATCAACTCCCAAGAGTACGCTGTCGCAGGTCGACATGCCAGAGTCGGCGTCGGCGTCGGCGCGAATGGTCGTGAGTTTATCACCGCCCACGTCTGAACTGACCACAACACAAAGTTTGGTGTGCTATCGACTCGAGCATTGGCGCCTCATACCTTCAGATGCCACGAAACCGAGCTCGGCAAAGTGCTTTTTGCACATTCAAGTGTTTGCATCGGCTTCTAACGACGTGATTCCAACAGCAGAAGCCCCCATCTGTACGTTTCAAACCCCCACGGAGAAGTACCGTTCCCATGTCCCAGTCGGCCAAGTCGAATGGAATACAAACGATGTGGCGTTCTTTGTACCTGGAGTGACACCCCATGGTGCGACGGTGGTCGTGACCGCAATTCAGGTGACTACGATTTGGAACAAGTTCAAGTTTCTCGGCCAATACGCTGGCCCTGTGACATCGTCCGCCGTGTCGTGCCATGCGTTACTGTATCCCATATTATGCCTGAAACCAGGCCATCCGAATGTGGCATTTTGCAACGAAGTTACCGCTAGTCCGCTCACGACAATGCTCAAGTGGTCATGTGTGTCGGTCCCGTGTCGACTCTATGGCCACTCGACGGGGTACATTTATGAGATGACGCAACAACGCCGCCGGACGAAACCACCCAAGAGCACTAAGCTCTTCATGTGTGTGCTCGACAACACCCTTGTCGTGTATGTGGATCACGATCGATCGCAGCCAGTGCTTCGACTGGACTTGCACTGCGTTTGCTCGTGTATTATGGACGACTCACAGTGCATCCGCGTGCAATACACCGACGACGACACCAACCACGGCAACTTTGTGTTTCAACTGTACGACGGTAGTAGTGCCGTGAATTGGCTGGACGTGTTGAACCAAGCAACGCAATGGCATGATCCCTCGGCACTGGGATGACAATCCCCCTGAATCAATCGTATTTGAAGCTTCGTGGCCGGCGCGGATGCTGATGTCAACAATGTCAATTCAAAACTAATATTCCATTTTCTGGCAATGTGGGATAAACTAAAAATACCATTTTCTGGCAATGTGGGATAAACTAAAAATACCATTTTCAAAATGGAGTTAAAAGGTCCATTTTGTAAGGGTGGGTCTGGTATTACAATATTCAGGCCCAAAACGCCATTTTGGGCCGAATTCAACAAATCTGATCAAAATTGAAACATGTCTTCTTGCAGTGATTTAACCCAAATCCATTAATTCCACGTCCGATTTACTCGTTGAAGAGGTTCAAAACGCCATCTTACAAAATGGACCTTTTACCTCCATTTTGAAAATGGCATTTTGCGAGAAAATGGAATATTAGTTTTGAAATGTTGCCAGGGAAGTACCCTAAAATATGGCGTTTTGAACCTCCTCATGGAGTAAATCCCACCTGGAATGAATGGATTTGGGCTAAAACTCTTCAACAAGACATGTTTCCATTTTTATCAGATTTGTTGAATTTAGCCCCAAAATGGCATTTTGGGTCAGAATATTGTCATATTTCATGTTGCCAGACGGACCCTAAGATAATATTGCATCACTTGTTGAATTTTGGCCGTGATTTCAATCCCATACTAGTAATACGATTTTTACACGACCGGTTACAGGGCTTTATGGACGACAAGGGTCGGAAAATTCCGTTTCCATCGAGATTTCCTCAATACATATTTCAAGATATGTGAGATTATGTGATATAAATCGAATTTGCACGACGTACGTCGAGCCGTAAGCGGAGCATTTCTATTGGCTATGTACGTATAATAATGTGGGAAACCACAAGGGTGACTAAACTCAATCCAAGCCAAGCTATACACGACAATTTGGTGATTGACTGCGACTGATGTTTCAATGGCGTCACATGGTATACCGGTATGCATACCGTTCAAACGACAGGTCGGTATATGATTATCGGGGTGTATTTTTAATAACAGGGTTTATAATGCCGGTGCAGTTAGTTTGACAGCATGTACTCCAACATCCAGAGTGCAGTTTTAAGCTATGAATCTGCCCAGCTTGCAATTGAAACCAAAATACCGAAACCATGTCACGGTCGTCTTGACCACGAATTGCGATACATATACCGCACTATCCTAATTGTAGCGAAATCGCAAGCTTTTTAGTGTTCGTGGTCGCAGCGGGTTGTACTTCGTGGTCGATGTGATGTGACAAGTTAACTTCGATTTCACAAAACTGCAACCAGTTTTGCAGTATTGAAGGAAAGCACATAGCCTACAATAGGGCGGCAGATTGAACATCCCAAATATGTTACTTGACACTCTTTGCATTTGTACTTGCCCCGTCCGTTCCTTCCTCAGTTGGTTGCCGTGGACGATAACTCCATTTGGAGGTCTCTACTGCTGAAGGCTCTCAACACTCGCGCCGCACTAAGCTCACATAAAAATGGTTGGACAACAGTCTCATCGACATTATTCGCAGTGCAGCTCCCAATGCACGCTAAATTACCGACGTGTGGACGCAAGTGTGAGCAAACCGTACCCGTAGGATTGAGCAACATAAGTATTACTAGTATACATTAAAGCAACCGGTCTTGTGCGAAATATATTCTGGCACCGTGATGGCTTGTAGAATGGCGGCTCTATGTAAGCGCAGAATAGTTCGACGACTTATATATCTATACATTTAGGTGTACTAGCCGCGAGATGCACCTTGAAATGGCCCTGTTGGGGACTCAAGAGCATGGCCACTCAAATGAAATGAATTGACTTATTTATGGAATTCGTATGGACGATTTCATATTAATTGTTAACCAATGAAAACACTCATGTACATGTACGTACAATGATTGGATAATTCACATGTCAATCAAATCCATGCTCATCACGAAACACTATTGACAATCGGTCCATACGAGTACAATTATGTATGCGACGATGAAATACCATAGTCATGCACTACAGTAGTATTTTCGACATCAATGTTGACTGTAAGCATCCATGTCATCACCACGACCTTGCCCGCTTGCTGTAGTATCCACTTTCGTCGGACGACTGCAACGTGCATCTGCATGGAATAACGCAACGCCATAAAAGGTCCTCAAAGGTAAAGATCCAACCACGTGATATTAACGATACTCCTGAAGTAGATTTATGCATTTGCGTGGACTTGAATGGGAAAAATGTAGACAGGCCACTGTCAACAACTTGACCCGTTTAATCCTTGCTTTATACTCCGGAGTAACAGATATACTTACGGGTCTTGTGTGCTTATGGCCCACACAAGAATTTCCACAAAGTTTTAATTCTGATAGCACCACATGAGAAGATATTGTCGATTTTCTTCAAATTTCCCATTCATTCAATCGAGCACAAACTGGGCGGAGATAGTTGATTTGCTAATACTACAGTACAATTATGTATGCGACGATGGAATACCATAGTCATGCACTACAGTAGTATTTTCGACATCAATGTTGACTGTAAGCATGCATGTCATCACCACGACCTTGCCCGCTTGCTGTAGTATCCACTTTCCATTTCCTACAGAAATCCAAAATGATATTGTAGCCAATCAGCGACAAATAATTTCGGATTGACCAATGGGAAAGATTGGTACCCAGTTCAGTCGGCGAGATTAGATTCAACGAGGTACGGAATAAATACCGAATCTCCAATAAAACGCCACGATTTATTGCACCTATGTGTTTTCATGGTTACACTGTATGGTGCACATCGTCTAACGTTACTGTATAACCTTCCAAAAACCTGGGAAAATGGGCAAATCCAAGACTGGAGGTTATATTATTTAACGCATACTTAATAAAATTATTTAACGTATATTTAATGTAGTTAAGTGTAAACCCAAAAAACAAAATAAGTTACCCCGTAAATCACGATCGCATACGTTTTATCACTTTTGAGGTAGGTTAAAGGTCCATTTACCTCCGGATATGGTGTACGGATACTACTAGTAGTATAATACAACGATCAAGATACTAGTACAGCCAAATTCAATTCGCCCATGCAAAATACCGCTTTGTAAATATGTAAATGTCTATTTCTTGACCAATTCTTCACCAAATCTAAAGTCTGAGACGTAGAATTTCTTCGTCTCAGACTTTAGATTGATCTCTCGATTCTACGTCTCTAATTGCTAAAATTTTGAGAAATGAAATCGAAGTAGCAGGAAGGAAATGTTATGAAAGTTGGTAGTTTATAGGTAACGTGCACCATACTGGTAGTAACTTTTTAGTAATAACAGGCTTACACTGTTAATTACAATCGTATTTATAATAGGGAGATTTCGCAAAGTAATCCGTGTCCGTTTCCGTAATAATTACCCTCAGTAATTAGTACAATCACGGAAACTGATGAAACTTTATAGCGGAATCGGTGAAAAGAGCACCAATCGCGGATTCGGATAATCATAAGAAATAGAGGTTATCCGAACAGGAGGGTTCCATTCTTCGATGGTTTCGTGTGCTCAGGTTGAGAAGCCAGGATGACTTGGCGCTGTGGATAATGGCCAACCACGAGCGACCATTCCTCCAACATGTGGTCATGAAGTCTTGGGGGGTGCTCGCGTGCAACTTGCTTAAAGTTCCTGGCTTCTCTTGCCAAGCTCGACGTTGACAGCAAGAAAACATCGCACAGGTTCCACCTGATCCTCGACAACCACGAAAAGTTCCAGAAGGCTTCTGTGTATTTGGATGGTGTTGAGTCAACACTGTTGACCGATGGTAGGAATGTGCGAGCAGAAGTCTGCGATGACGGGCAGGCCTCGCGAAGCAAGAGCGCTTGACGACAGCATTATTGCAAAGTAGCAGATTCCTTATGTTTATTCTGGACGCGGAAATCTATTTATACAGCGAAATCGTCTAAATTTACAGTTAATCCGTGTCCGTGGTCTTGTCCGTGTCATTTTTCTCACGGACGTGAACAGATTGAATTGCGAAATCTCCCTAATGTACACTTGATTAAGAGATGTTGTTAGAGAAGCTGTTTAAGAAGGTCAACATACTTTTAAAGGACAGTTAGGTTAAAGAAATGGCATGCTATTATTTATTTTAAGTGATGTTGAGATTCCCTGAGAGCAAGTTTCTTACGTAATCATTTCCCTTCAAATGAACCAGTACATAGCCCTGAAACCTCAAAACCCTCGGACCCCGGGGTTAAGTTGCATCCCCAGTGGTTAGCGATAGCTAACCACTGGAATGCGTTGTTACAACAATGGAACTGTTGCTCTCAGTGAATTACTGTTTTTTTACGTATCATGGAGCATGTTGGACTACATTTTAGATTTGTATCGTAATCAAATGCTTTGAGTGCTTTTGAGTCATGACACTCCTTAAAAACCTTGATGTTTGTATTGGTTTAAAATAATATGATCAAAATTGCCTGCAATTCGCCACACCTACAGTAATAAAATTTCAAATGAATTTAATTAGTCATTCTACGGGATTCGTAGGCCAGAACTTGACTTTTGTATGCAATCGTAGGCGCACACCCCTACGATTTCGCCATTTCACATTTCACATTTCGAAATCCTCCACCTCGTTTTTTTTCCAAGTTATATACGAATTTGTAGCAAACATAAAATTTCGCAGTTCATTTGTGAATTGACGAAATCGTAGGGAGCTAGTCCTACGATTTTCATATCCAATGAGATCTCAAGAAAATCACAACTTGCCAATCCTCCTCTATCGTACACGTCGCATGCCAAAAGGGAATGTGTGTGTGTGAGGCGTCCTAATGGTAATGCCATTGATAGCACTAGGTATGTCACGTTAGCAGTGCGCAAGTTGTGCTGCGTTGTATTAGTACGTAGTAGGAAGGAGAGATCGTTATGGAAGAGTTATAGTGATATGTTGATAGTCGAGCTGGACGCGTTTGCGAATATCAAGACTTTATGGAAATTCTTACTAGTATGTGGGCCGCAAGCACACAAGAGAAGTAAGTATATCTCTGTATGAAGCAAGTATTGAACTATTTACGGGTCAAGTTGTTGACAGTGGCCTATCTACATTTCTCCAATTCAAGTGCACACGAGTGCATAAATTCTACTTCAGGAGTGTCGTTAATATCACGTGGTTGGATGTTTACCTTTGAGGACCTTGACGTACTAGTATGTACTATGTATGGCATTACATTACTCCATGCAGAGGCACGTTGGAGTCGCCCGACGGTAGCTGATGCCTTTGAAGCGGGCAAGGTCGTGGTGACGGAATGGATGCTTACTACAGTCAACGTTGATGTCGAAACTACTACCGTAGTACATGACTATGATATCCCATCGTCGCATAATTGCACTGGTATCATGCAGCCTGAATTGCCAACGACTATCGTCAATAGTGTTTCGTGATGAGCACGGATTTGTGATTGAATTATCCAATCACTGTACACGAGTGTTTTCATTGGAGGCAATCTCCCTACGAATTCCATAAATAAGTCAATGTATCTTAAAAATTGAAATCATATTTTACAGTTAATTCATGGATCACAACAAAAGCAGCATATTGGAGGTCATCCACTCGTTGCGAGGAGTGATGCGCTGCCGCATCTTTTTCTATGTTAGGATGGTGCAAACGAGCGTACTCCGATGTATCACTCTGCTGTGCACAACTGTTGTGATGCTCTCGTAGGCCTATACAGTATGGCGGGAGAGCTTCAGAGATATCTTGGTTAACATTCTACCGGTATTCACATTTTTAGCAAAACGAAAAAGTGGTTCCTACTTTTTTACCTCTATACCAATGTAGAAAAGAAGTCCTTGACGCCTTCTATTCAACATTAATAAATGAAACATTGGTTGTCACCTGCGATTGGAGGAATTCTGAAACGGTTTCCATTTCAGCTCATGGGCGGGTCGAAGCTGCAAAAGTTCCTCGCGGTCCGGCACATTCAAACACCGCTGGGTCCCACGACAGGCTTGGCGTCGTCCACACGTCTCAGTCTCAACTATATCCACCACAAGAAGCCGAATGCTCTGCCCGAAGTGTGGGCGACATTCACAGTACGCAAGCACGGAGCGCGGGTGGACAACGCTCGTAAGGTGCGCCGTGGGCGTCACACACACGATATTCCTTCCATATAAGTCCAATATTCCTTGCATGTATGTATGACCCTCATGCTGGAAGTAGATTCTCCAGTCCGTCGACGACGAGAACTTCGTGACGCGCGAGCCCGAGGCGGTGCCGATCAACATCCACATGGACGAGCTGGCCGTGCAGGCATCGTACGACCAAGCGAGCCGCCTGCGGGTGCTGACGTTCGACCCAGACGACCATGCGCTGGAACAAGTGATTTTGAGTCGGAGTGCGTACGACGACGCCGTGGAAGCCGAGCGACAGCTTGTCGCGGACGGGGAAAAGCAGCAGTCAGTGCGGGAACTCGTCACGAGCCACACATTCAAGTGGCTGCTCTCCAAATCCGCGACCGAGACAAGTGGAGACGATGCAGCGTTGGTTTGTCATCTCCAGAACACGATGCCCCTCGCCCAACATTAACCCATCAACACGACGTGTGAGCTCCTTCTGTAGAGTTGGAGATGCTCTTAACAGGCTAATGAGCATGCTGGTGTTGATGTAGTGAAACCCAAGACAACCGTCTATGTCTATGGCATCGTATTCCTCTTGCAGCAACGCGTGTATGCCAAGGCAGTGGACATACACTTGAGAACTCCAAAATGCCCACAAACTCACGGCGAAGAACAATCTTACTCGCAACCAAACAAGCCCGCACACCGGAGCTCGTTTGGAGGACCTTATGCTTGAAAATGCGATTCCGCACGATCACATCCTGCACATGGGAAATCCAATCAACACATCACTTGGTTAACTAGTACTACTAGTAGTACAGTACTCTGTTTCTAGACATGGTCAATGTATTGTAGGGGCCTTTTGGGATGATACCAGGGCCATACAAACTGTAATATAAATATGAAATATTGCGAATTTGGCGGTTTCGAAACCAGTCGTAGAAAGACCATGATCTTATCTTCAATTTGCACTGATTACTCCAATTTTGGCCAAAAAATGCATGAAATATTGACAAAATGGCAGGGACTGTCAGCAACTGAGGCTCCTTTTGTCATCAAAGCGTACACTTACTTCACTCAAATATGGTGCATTTCAACTAAAGACTACAAAAAAATGCCTTGTCTTTCGACAGCTATTCCAACTTTGTATTGATATTTTTTAGGAAAATAAGCCGTAATAACGATAGAACTGGTCAAGACCAACAGAAGTTACGGTTCAAAATTTCGATTGGTGAAAAATTGATCGAGTAATAGAATTTACATGTTAAACCAACCAGCCTTTTTGTATGGAAATATATGGAGCCAGGCACATTTTGGCCGAAAAGGAGCATCAAGTATATCTTGGTCTTTGTATCCAGCACTTATCCGTATGAAGGTTTCCATTGTATCCGGATTATTCAGGATGTTTAAC